AAAAATTACTTATATCTTTTAAAACTTTCAAAAAATTATCTAAATTCTTTAAAACTTTTTAAAGTCTTATTTATATTCTTCGAAATTTTCGAAGATTTATTAATATTCTTTAAAACTTTCAAAGATCTACTTATATTCTTTAAAACTTTTAAAGACTTACTCTTATTCTTTAAAACTTTTATATTTAATTCTATATTTTTTACTATTTTTAAAATTAGCTTCTAATTTAAAGAATATAGCTAGATTCTTATTTTTTAAATCTTTTAAAGATTTTAAAAATATATCTTTTAAAGTAGTTTTATTTAAAAACTTTAATATTTCGATATCTAATTTTATTAAAGTTTTATTTTCTTAAGCTTTTAAAAAATATTCTTTCGAGATTAAAATATTTATAATATTCTTAGAATTCGAAATTAATAAATTTAAGTTTTCGAGATTTTTAAAGAATTAATAGAATTTAAGATTAATTTCGATACTTTTAATTTAGAATCTTTTAAAATCGAATTCTTTATAGTAGTTAATCTAAGTCTATAAAAAATTTAAATATTAATAATATATTTTTAATATAAATAAGATTATAGAAGTACTTACCGCTTAGAAGATATTATAGATAAAAATTATAAGAGATTTAAAATATATAAAATTTTTAAGAATATTAAAGAGTAAAAGAAGAAGTATAAGAAATTACGATATTTTAGAGATTTTTAATTAAGATTTTACTTTTTTAAAAGCTTACTTCTTTAAAATTAATATAAAATTAAAATTTATAAATAAAATTTATTAATTATAATAATAGTTTCGAAAAATTCGAAATTCTTAGATAATAGAGAAAATCTCGAAATATTTAAAGAATATATTTTTTAGCTCGAAATCTTCGAAGAATATATTTTTTAACTTAAAATCTTCGATAAATTATTTAAATTATTAAATATAATTATATAAATATTTAAAGATAAAGAACTTAAATACTATTTATTAAAAATTTATTTATTTTATTAAAAATACTTTTTTATATAAATTTAAATAATTAAATAATTATTATTTTAATAAAATTTATAATTATTTTTTAATTAAAATTATTAAATAAATAAATAAATAAATATTAATAAATAAATATTAATAAATAAATATAAAGAATATTATAAAGAAATTAAATAATAATAAAATTATTATTATTAAGAATATAACTTAATTTTTTAAAATTTTATATTATATTAATTATTTACTTAATTAATTATTTAATTAATTATTTAGTTTAATACTCTTTTTATAAAAAAAGAAATTATAATAAATAAATATAGAGAATATTATAAAGAAATTAAATAATAATAAAATTATTATTATTAAGAATATAATTTAATTTTTTAAGATTTTATATTATATTAATTATTTATTTAATTAATTATTTAATTAATTATTTAATTAATTATTTAATTAATTATTTAATTAATTATTTAATTTAATACTTTATAAAAAAAAAAAAAAAATTATAATAAATAAATATAAAGAATATTATAAAGAATATTATAAAGAAATTAAATAATAATAAAATTATTATTATTAAAAATATAATTTAATTTATTATTTATTATTATTATAATAATATTATAAAAAAAAAATTATTATAATAATTATAATTAATTAGATTTTTATAAAAAAAATATTAAATAATATATATTTAAATAAATTAAAATTATTTAATATTTTACTCTAATAATTATTTTATTATTTAAAAAATTTTATTATAATAAAAAATAATATAAAATTTATATTATTAATTAATATATTATCTTTATTTCTTTTTAATATTTTAATATTATTTATTATAAAAATATAATCTTTTATTAATAATTTAATTAAAAAAATTAATTTTAAAAATATTTTTATTTAATAATTAAATATTTTTATTTTTATTTAAATATTTATTTATAAAATCTTTATAAAATTTTATAAAATTATTTATAAAAATTTTATAAAAATTATTTTTAATAATATCTTTCTCTTTAAAAAGTTTATTTTTAAATTTTAAAAATAATATAAAAATTATAATATTCTAAAAACTCTTTTTTAAAAAATTTATAATTTTAAAAATAATATATCTTATATTTTAAAATTTACTTTTTTAAAAAATTTTAAAAATTTATTTTATATTATAAATATTAAAGAATAAATTATATATTAAATAATAATATTAATAATATTATATAAATAAAATATTAATTATAAAAATTATTAAATAATATATATATTAAAATTATTAAAAAATTAAATTATTAAAAAATTAATTTAAATAAAATCTAATATAAATTTAAAAAAAAATATTAATTAAAATTATAATTTTTTTTTTTAAATAATTATATTTTTATAATTTAAATTATAATAATAATAAAATAATAATAATAAAATAATTATTATAATTTATAATATATTAATTTTTATAATTTAAAATATATTTATTATTCTTTAAAATAATAACTTTAAACTTTTTTTATAAATACTCTTAATATTTAATTATAATATTAAATTAAATTTTATATAATAAATTTATAAATATAAATAATAGAGATATTAATATAGAATAATAGCTTAAGAAGATATTTAAAATAATAATATAAGGTACTAAGAGATAATATAATTATCGAAAAAAGCGAAAAAAAATCGAAATTAAATAAGATTAATTTATTTAAAAATATAAAGTCTAATAATTTATTAAATTAAAATTAATTTAAATATATTAAATATATATAATTAGATAAAATAATTATTATTAATTAAAAAAAAGAAAAAAATTATTATTATTATTATAAATAAGATTTATATTATTATTATTTTTTTATAATCTTTTTTATAATCTTTTTCTTAATTATAATAATCTTTATCTCTTTAAATAATAATATTTTTAAGATTATATATATTTTAATCTAATTAAATTAATAATTATAATTAAAATATTTAAAATATTAATTTTTTTTTAATTAATTTTTTAATTATTTTAAATAAAATAATCGCTATAAATCTAATTTAAACTTTTATTTATTAATTTTTTTTATATTTATATATATAATCTTTAATTAATAAAGATTTTAATTAATTTTCTATAAATACTTAATAATTAAATAAAAGAAAAATAATAAAATATTAATAATTTATAATTAAAATTTAAAAATAATAAATTTTTATAATATAGCGATTTTATAATTTTTATTATAATTTAATAATATAATAGTAATTAAAAATCGAATATAAAATTTATTAAATATCTTTTTTTTTATAATAAATATTAAGTTATAGAGTAAAGTATTATTTTTTATTAATTTATTATAATTATTAAATATATTATAAAATTTTAAAATTATTATCAGGATCAGTATAGGTGCGATACTAGTATGGGTGAGGTAGAACGAGGATAATAAGGCTACCGAACTATGTATGTGGGAAGGAGGCATGATATGGTAGGGGATGCCTCCGCCAAGGCCCGCTAGCCATAGGGCTGAGTGGTGTGTCAAGGGTACGCTCGTAACACTACCCCCCCCTCTCAAATAGCCATGGCCCCCATGGCTAGTAGACCGGAGATGCAGGCCCATTGCTTGCCTTATATCTCCAAACATCCATAGTTCGTATAGTCCTTGACTGGAGAGGGTTGAGATCCTGGAGATGTAGCCACATCTTACCTGCGTATAAGCAAGATTCTCCAAGTCCTTCTCCCGTCTAGCCTGCCTGCTATAGGCCTTCGAAAGAACTGAATAATTCCATCGCATGTTTATGTGTTGTGCTCGCTGAAAATCCATAAAAACAAAGAACTTTTAGTGTCCGGGACTTTTAATGTGGCACTCGTCTCTCAGCGGCGGTAGCAGCAGTAACAGGCTTTGCATAAATTCCCGTATTGGCCTCGTCGCTAGCTAGAGGTGTAGCGAGCATAGGGAGCCTGATTCGAACGAAATCGGTGGAAGAATGGGTAAGTAATGATTATGGTTGTTTTGGTGATCCATGGTGACTCCCGAGTCGATATTCCAGCGCAAAGGATGTTGATGAAATGATGCGATGTGATTGGTCGAGGACTCCCGAACCGAACCGAACCGAACCGAGCCGCGGGCGCTAAAAACTCTAATCCAATATCAAGTGAGTTTCTCCATGGGGTGCCACATAACCGATACCGATGGGGGCTACCGACGGGGACAGTGAGGCCCATAGGTGACGCACCATGGCTTCGGAAGACCTTCACGCATATGACAACAAGGGAAGCCCGCTTAATGGACCTGACATGAGGCTATTAGTGAGCAATATGGGCCTGGGGAATCGGTTTCCCAATGTGAAAAAAGGAGGCCATTCTAACATCGGATGGTTTCAATTCGTCCAAAAACACGATATCCGAGATATTACCGAGTCGCTCATAGGAAGCCCTGGCAACTAAGCTCGTATGCTTCGTCGAAATCCATACCGGGTTCGAAGTATTTACCATGCTTTTGTGCATAAGCCCAATTCTCATCTACAAGATCCTCTACCTCAACAAGACTTAAACCCTATATATTGAAAGTAGGGCGAGTCATAATCGAGTATCCCTTCTTTACGTCAGCCTCGACCTTTGCTTTTGCGTATTGCTCCGCGAATCTTTTAGCCTTCTTCTCGGCGAATCCCTCAGCAGATTGTTGATATTGAAGCTGTATTCTCATAATACGTTCCTTTAATTCAGGCATAGTCCAATCCCTTGCCAATAGACCAATTGAGTCACACAAACGGAGTTCCGATTTCTTCCGTATATCGTTTATCAGACTGTCATTCCTGAGATCGTTAAGACTATCATTCCTGAAATCACATTCGGTATATTTGATGAGATCACCGTAGAATTTGAGAAATGGTTGACTTCCTTAGCTTATTTTGTCGTAAGTATATTAATAGGTTTCTCTAAGAACGAATAAGGGTATCTTATATACGTTACTTAAATAATCTAGAAGATTATCGACTGTAGAGTATAAGCGATATCGTCGTCTGATAGATACGTGCTAACTGGCTTTCCCTTTAAGTCTCGCTATAACGTAAGTAATTTTGAAGGTATTAGTAAGGAAATAATCACTATTGTGGGTAAGCTTGTCTTGAATTCTCATTTTCCAGTCATCGAATGATATTGAATTAGTGCCGGTGAAGACAGGTGGATCTGGTAGCCTTGGGCTAAGTGGCTGCCTGACTGGCTGTGGAGAGATTAGTCGATGTCGATATGCTCTTAGTGCCTCAAAATCTCGTGGAGTGGGTGGTGGTGGGGACGGAGGCGGAGCAGAGATGCCAGGCGAGTTTTGGCCCTGCGTCTCCTCTTGATTGGTGTGGAATGGGGAAGGGGGCGGAGCGGAGATGCCAGTCGGTGTTCTATGATATCGCTGGTAAAGGTCCTCAGCAGATAGAGAGCGCTGCACACGTGGCATGTGGAGTGACGGCGAGTTGGGAGGTGAGTATCTTCTATGTAGGTCGTCGTATGTAAGGTAGGGTTCGCCACGGTATGTAGGTGATCGGCGATGCGGAGGGACGTATTTTGGTGTTGATGTAGGTGGATTTGATATAGGCTGGAGTAAATTATATTCCCGATCGCGAGGTGTCTTAGTTCTCTGATAGGTGTAGTAATTCTGAATGTAGGTGGCCGCTGTCGTCCTCATTCCTCGCCAGTAGTATTCCCTTTTGAGTAGTTTATAGGTACGTGCTACCCCGGGATAGCCGTAGGACGGTTGATCATACACCTCTCGGATAACATCGGTGTATATGTTATCGAATATCTATAAACGGTTCTTGCGGTAAAGCACCCCGTCTTGTACGAAGCACTTATTGAGAGTGATCCCTCGAAACTTGTCCTTGCCTTCGGTGATAGCGTCACGGATTTCCGTACAATATTCGTCTTTCTTGTTAGCCCCTACTACTTTGTGGTAGATAGGGTCGTCGTATATAAAATAAGGCTGGCCGCGGTGTGTAGGTAATCGGCGATGCGAAGCGAGGTATCTTGGTGATGATGTAGGTGGATTTAAAGAATTCATAATGTTTTGAATGTAGGTAAGAACGGAGCGGAGAGATCGATGCGGAGCGGAGAAGGATTTCTTGTATTCGGTGGAGGGGACTCGTTTTTTGATGGATTGGACTACCGTTGATAATGGAGGCTGTCTGATATAGGTTCTTTCGAATGATGTAGGCGGTTTGTGATTTGAATGTGTGGTGGGGTTTCTATATAGTAGAAATACCCAGCGTCTTCTTTATCAGGCTCGGTCGCTTGCTCCGAGCAGAAAGTAAAAAACCCGTCAATTCTCTTCGCCGGGGGGTGTACGAAGGAGCCTTATTATAATGTCAGGACCAGCATAGGTGCGATACCAGTATGGGTGAGGTAGAACGAGGATAATAAGGCTACCGAACTATGTATGTGGGAAGGAGGCATGATATGGTAGGGGATGCCTCCGCCAAGGCCCGCTAGCCATAGGGCTGAGTGGTGTGTCAAGGGTACGCTCGTAATAATTATCTCTTTTATAATATTATAAAAAAAAATTATTTAATAAATTTATTTATATTTTAAATATATTAAATATAATTAATCTATAATAAATCTTAAATATAATCTATTTTATCTTTTTAATTAAAAAATAATATAATATTTTATTAAAATTTAAAATTTAAATAAAATTATTATTTATTTTATTTCTCTTTTTATTATAAAAGTAAAATATATTAAAATATTTCTTATTATTTTTAATAATAAAAATAATAAAAATAAATATTTTAATTTTAATAACTTTAATTTAATTAATTATTTATTTATATTAAAATTTAAAAACTTTATTAAAATAATTATTTCTTTTTTAATAATTAAAATTTTAATTTTAATTTATAATTTTATATTTATAATAATAAAAGTCTTTATATTAAAATAATAAAGATTTTATAATTCTCGAAATTATATTATAATTATATTAAGATTTTAAATAATAATATTAAAATTATAAATCTAGATTTAATAATATTAAATTATTAATAATAATTAAGAATAATCTTTTTTTAATTCAAATTTATAATAAATTAGATAAAGATTTTTTTATTAATATAAATAAATAATAGATAAAATAAATAAGAGATAATTAAAATATTTTTTTATAGAGATAGAATAAATAAATAAATAAAGAATTATTTAAATATTTTTTTTATAATAAAATAATTAAATAATTAATATTTAAAAGATTTTTATAAAAATAGAATAAATAAATAGATAGATAGATAAATAAATAAAAAATTATTTAAATATCTTTTTTATAATAAGATAATTAAATAATTAATATTTAAAAGATTTTTATAAAATAAAATAGATAAATAAATAAAAAATTATTTAAATATTTTTTTTATAATAAGATAATTAAATATTTAATATTTAAAAGATTTTTATAAAGATAAAATAAATAAATAAATAAATAAATAAATAAATAAATTTTTTTAAATATCTTTTTATAATAAAATAATTAAATAATTAATATTTAAAAAATTTTTATAAAATAAAATAGATAAATAAATAAAAATAAATAAATAATAATAATTTAATTTATAATTATATTAAATAATTAATATTATATTAAAAAATAAATTATATATTAAATAATAATATTAATAATATTATATAAATAGAATATTAATTATAAAGATTATTAAATAATATATATATTAAAATTATTAGAGTATTAAATTATTAAAAAATTAATTTAAATAAAATCTAATATAAATTTAAAAAAGAAATATTAATTAAAATTATAATAATAAAATTAATTATTAATTATTAAAATTTTTATTTATAAGATTATTAAATAAAAGATTTTTATTTTTAATTTTATATTAATATAATATAAAAATAAATTTATATTTAAATTTATAATCTTATTTTAATATATATAAATTAAAAATTTATTTTAATTAATTTTAAATTTTCTTTTTTAAATTTTATTTAGACTTTTACTTTAAAATATTTTATTTAAAATATTTCTATTAAAATAAAGCTATTTTATTCGAAATATTCTTATTAAAATAAAATTATTTTATTTAAAATATTCTTATTAGAATAAAATATTCTATTTAAAAATTTTATTTATATAAAAAATTTTATTTAAAAATATTTAATTTCGAATTTATTTTTAATATAATTATTATTTAAATAATTTTCTAAAAAAATTAAATTTTTAATTTTTAATAAGAGATTTAAGTATTTTTAAATTCTCGATTTTTAACTTTTAATAATTAAATATATTATCTTTAATTATAATTAATATTATTTTAAAATAATTATTAATTAAATATTTTAAATTATAATTAATTTAAAATAAAATATAAAATATTATTATTAATAACTTAATTAAAAAAATTAAATCTTAAAAATATTTATATTTAATAATTAAATACTTTTATTTAAATTTAAATAAAATTTATTATAAAATTATTATAAAACTTTATAAAATTATTTATAAAATCTTTATAAAGATTATTTTTAATATCTTTTTTAATTTTTTATAAATAATTATTATAAATTAAATCTTTTTATAAATAATTATTATAAATTAAATCTTTTTATTTAATATTTTTTTTTAATTAAATATTTTTTTTATTATATATATATATATTTTAAATTAATAATTTAATAAAATAATTTTATATAATATTAATATTATATAATATTAAGAATTATTAATATTTCTTAATAATAATTTTAATTAAAAAATAAAAAATAAATTTAATTTATAAATCTAAATTTATTAAAATATAAAAAATTAAAAAATATTTATTAAATTTACTTAATAATTTTAATTAAAAAAAAAAAAAATTAATTTATAAATCTTTATTAATATATATAAAAGAATAAGATAAGGCTAAGCTTAAAAATCTTAAATTTATATATATAATTAATTATTAATTTAGAATTACTACGCTTTTTAATTAAATTAATTAAATTATTATAAATAAATAAATTAATATCCGTAATTATTAAAATCTTATCTTCTTTTATTAAAAAAATAGATATATATTATTTATAATAGTAATAACTTTTTTATTTTCTATTAAAATTTTAAAATTTTTATTTTAAATTTTAAAACGCTATTTACGCTTTTCGAATTTTTAAGAATTTTAAAAATTTATCTTATAATTATTAAAGCGTAAGAAATTTAAATATCGCTTATTAAAGTTTACTTATTAAAAATTATTTATCTATTTACTTAATAATCTTAATTAAAAAAATAATTATAAATTTAATTTATAAGCTTTTACTCGTATATATATAATATAATTATAATTTTATTTTTATTTTTTATAATTAAATTATATATAATTATTTTTATATTTTTATAATAATTATTTTTATTATTTTTATTATTTTTATTATTATTATTATTATTATTATTATTATTATTATTATTTATTTTAGAAAATTATATCTATTATTTCTATTAATTCTATTATTATTATTATTATTATTATTATTACTATTATTATTTATTCTAGAAAATTATATCTAAAAAAAATTACGAAAAAATCGAAAAAAGTGAAGTTTTAAAATTCTCGAATAATTTTTTTTATTCGAATTATAAACTAGCTTTTTTTTTTTTTTTTTTTTTTTTTTAGCTTATCTAACTAAATTCTTAATTATTTATTTATAAATTTAATCTTTAATAAGCTAAGTAATAGCGCCTTAAAATTTAAAAAACTTAAATTAATAATTTTTTATATAAAAGCTCAAAAAAAACGAATTTTCGAAATATTTAAAATGAAGATTTATTAATTAAAAATATCTCTAAAATTAATAACTTCTATCTAAAATTCGTTATCTTAAATTATTCGAATTATTAAAAGATTTAAAAAATATATATAACTTTATAATTTAATTTGCCGCTAAAGACAATTAGAATTACTTCGCTTTCGAAAAAATCGAATTAATAATAGATTCGAAAAAATTATAATTTTAAAAAATATATTTATTAGCTTAACGATTCTATCTAATTTCTTTAAAAATTAAATTTTAAAAAATTCGAATTAGTAAAATTTTATAATTTTCATCTTTCGATTTCTTTAAGATAAAGAACTTCGAAAAATATAAATATCTTTAAGAAAATTATTTTCTTTAAGTTATAGCTTAATAATAGCGTATTATAAAAAAATTAAATTAGTAATATAAATAGAAAAGCTTCGAAATAATCGAATCTTAAAATAATATTTATACGATAATATATTATCTACGTTATATCTTATTAGCGAATTCTCTAATATTTTCTAAAATTTAAAAAATTCGAATTAGTAAAGAGCTTAAAAGATTTAAAGTAGTAAAAATTAATAATAAAGAAGTTTTAATCTCTTTATAATAGATATTTACTAAATTAATTTTTAATATTTTAATTTTTTTAAAATATAGATATTCGAGAATTACGAATTAAGCGATTAACTTTATAAATAATATATTTTAAGCTTTAATCCGTTTAGAATTTTACTCTTTTCGAAAAATTAATTCGAAATTTTTGAATCTTTTAATAGAATAAAATTTATCTCTATCTCGCCTCGACGTTATCTAAGTTTTTTATCTTTCGAAATTTTCGAATTAGTAAAGTTTAAATAAAGATTTAAATAAATCGAATTTATTAGCTTAATTTTATATATATTATAATACTCTTTCTTATTAGAATTATTTATATTAAAATTTAAGATTTTTTAAAAAAATCGAAAGTTAGTATAGAAGAAGTTTAAAAAAATTGAATCCTTTAAAGAATTCGAATTATTCGCACTTTTAAAGAATTACTTATATTTTCTTTTTTTAAATATATTTATTTATATAAAATAATTTAAATTATTCGAGAAAGGCTAGAGAAGTAAAAGTTCGAATTTTTTAAAGATAAGAAAAGAAATAAATAAAAGATACTTCGAAAAAAACGCGTTAGCTATTTATATTATTAAAACTTATCTTAAAGAAATTAAAGTATTAATTATTAAATTAATAAATATCTTATTATAAAGAGATTTATATATAAAGAAAAAAAAAAAAATAAAAGAAAAAATTTTTAAAAAAAATAACAAACATAAAAAATTATTATTTTTTTTTTTTTAAAAAAAAAAAAAAAAAAAAAAAAAAAAATTAAAAAAAAAAAATTTTTTTTTTTTTTTCCCCCCCCCAAAAAAAAAAATATTTTTTTTCCCCCCCCCAAAAAAAAAAAAAAAAAAAAAAAAAAAAAAAAACCGGGGGGGGGGGGACGACATGTCGACATCACCATGCAGATAAAGTACTTTAGACGCGCTCGGCCTACATAGCCGCCAAGCTACTGTACCATTCTTTTCTTCAACAAAATCTTTGCTAAATGCCAAGGAGAGGAATGGTGCAACGAGTATAATTATTTCGTGGATTCAATTGACTACGTAAATAATCTATAATCTTTTATGTGATACCATACTAGTCATTGACTTTGCGCCGCTGAGTATAGAACTTTCCTTCCATGAGACCAACGAGCCTCGCCGGTGGTCTGGCGTTGGGTGGCTACTTGGCGGTCTTGGGTCTAAAATGGTAGTCCTGTCCCAATGGTTTTTCCTAAGACAGACGGGAAATATTCCTGTTCATGCTCCGTCTCTGTTGTATCGTAGCGCAGAGTCTGTAAGCATAATATCACCGAGAAAATGAGAAGAGACCCAAGTATAACATATCTGACATGAAGGTCCGCAAGGTCTCCTTACCTAATGACCTCAACATCAATATCTGGCGTCGTTCTTGAACCTCAACCCAGCAACGATCCAAAAGACCCATCGAGTCGGCGTCGCTCCAAGGAACTTATCATTCTTGCGACATTATGCCTAGCCGGACTCAGGCATTGGCTCGTCATTGGTCGTCTTGGTCGTTCTCCAGCCCGAAGCGAAGACTTATGGGAGGACACCAACGGAGGTCGCATGGACAGTACTCAGTTAGCTCTGTCAATTGAGTGTAGATGATGCAACGCTCACTCTCCCGCCAAACAAGGTTCTGCAGATACTGCCGGCGAAGCCGTAGGACCTATCATTTCCGCACCTATGGCTTCTGGATGCGGTCGAAGTTCTGTAATATTCTGGAGCGTCTTTGGCGTTCTTGTCTTTAACGTTTGGGAGAGCGTGTATGACCAAGTCGACTCAGTTCTTTCCCTTCCTCCTGTCTATGTTATTCTCGGTACTGTGTGGCGCCATTCTTCCTGTCTTAGGAACTCGCATCATATTCGATATTTTCCACGTTCACGAGCGGGGAAGAGCCGGATCTTCCATATCATTTTCCTTCTGAGTTTTGTTGCCACTCCGACGTTGGGTGCATTCTCTTGGGCAGCGGTGGGCTAGGATATCATGTTTTGCTGGACGGTTGGGCTCTGCGGTCTCACTCTGATTATGATCTTCCTTTTCAAGAAGAGACTGGATCCGACCGTCAGGAAAACAGCCTCTACCCTGCCCAGCCGAAGTCATTTTTGCCCAACAGAGTAGCAACCTTCTTCCCTTGTATCAAAATTGCTCCGCGTACAATGCTGGCCGAGACCGCAAGTCGCAAGATTGAAAGACCACAACTTGAGCTGACAATTTCAGTCAGGGCTGGATCATTGCTTTGCCAATCGGTATCACACCGGCAGCCCTGATCATTGGGCTGTACGCCGTGATTACTTTTGGCTTCACCGTTATGCTGCAAATCCTTCAAAGAGTTTTTATCGAAGAGCCGCTCAAGATGATTGGCTTATCCTAAAACAGAACGCATACTGTAAGCATTTGCCGAAATGTAGGGGTTTAAACCAGTCCAGCTGACATTGTACACCTTGTCTCCTTCACCAGCTGGCTCGCTCTCTACAGCGCCCAGACCTACGGCCATCTACTAAATGAGCGTGTACCAATGTGGATTTTCGGACGACGTGGTGGTATTTGGAAACCAGAACACCGTCTTCACAACCTTTGGATCCCCGCAATGTGCATCCCCATCAAGCTCGGCCTCTTTGGCGCATTTCTTTTCAATCACCACTCTCCCATTGTTTCAGCACTAGCTTCGTTTCCTGTTGGCTCTGGGGCTTTCGCCAGCGTGCTATTACCGTCACTTACTGCATCGAATGCTTCACTCATTATCCAGCCGAAGCTGGTCTTGTCATGAACTTCTACCGACTCTCATTCGGAACGACAACGAGCTATTTCATCACTCCACGGGTCACTGCTGTTTGGATACAATGGACCCTCGGGATGTCTGCCTTTTTCGTTTTGGGGTCATTCGGACTGGTTGTGCTGTTGATGTTCAAAGGAGAGTCCTCTCGCCAGATGCAGTCCACCAGGATTGCTTCATCTGAAGCGGGCGCAAAGTTGTTGAACGTGGACTCGAAATCGAAGGCATGGGTGTATCTTGCGAGGAGCACTGGGGCGTCTGGCATCTTAGGCTTTAGAAAGTATTTAGTCAGTATCCATATAGTAATCTAGTCAGTATTCACATTGTATACCCAGGACATATACCCAGGACATAGGCTGGTCTAATGTTGGCGGAGGATCTTTAGTGGTACGAACCGCTCGACCTGAAGATCTGCCCATATTTTAGATTGAGCTCACAGAGCCCTTTCAAATAGAGGTGCACGAAAACGTGGTAGTCAAAGTGGTACCAGATCCCAAAGTGGAGACGATAGCACCGCATGGTCTTAACAGAAACCTTTTGGCGCCTGAGGTCTCTCATTCATTCTGACAGCTCGCTCTGTATCGCCAACAACGTCTGCAAATTTTCGGTGAACTAGGAGGCCCCACACAATAATGAAGACAGCTTTAAACTCAAAGACAACGCCTCTGACCCATATGATGTAACTTCCAACATTGTGCGGGGCGCAACATGGGGGAATCGCAAGAGGACATGGCCTCTACAACCTACTACACCTACAGCAGCGCCGATACAGGTCCCGGGCACACCTCAACAGTCGTCACCGCAGCATTTGGGAATTTCGCCCGTCAAAATGGCCAACATGTCGAACCTCTACCGGGATCCTCGATCCACCATCACCACTCACCATGACACCTACCCCTACATCTCCCCCTCCAAGTTCACCGGATCCCTAAACGGCAAAGTCGTCCTCCTCACGGGCGCCGGTCGAGGCATCGGCCGAGCCTCCGCCCTCGCCTTCGCCGCCGCCGGCGCGAACGTGGCCTGCGTCTCCCGCACCCATCCCGACACCCTCTCCCTCGTCCACGAGATCTCACAGAAGGGCCACCCGCGCGCCATTGCGATCGCGGCGGACGTCGCGGACGCGGACGCGCCGGGGAGGGCGGTGGGGGAGGTGCAGGGGGAGCTGGGGCCCGTGGATGTGTTGGTCAACAATGCGGGGATTTCGAGGATCAGCGACGTGGAGCATGAGCATGGGATGGGGGCCGCGATGGAGGTTGTGGAGGTGAATGTGAGGGGGGCGTTGAACTTCATTCACGCGGTGGTGCCGAGTATGGTTGAACGAAAGAGCGGGGTCATCATTAACGTGAGATCTTTTTCATTGGGTGGAGATGCAGGGTCGATGTAAGCTGACGAGCGCACAGGTCGTCTCCGTCCTGGCAACTATCTCCCTGCCCTACTCCTCAGCCTACAGTGCCGCCAAGGCAGCCCTCGTTCGATCTACTCATATCATGGACCTTGAATTTCGGCCCCATGGCATCTACTCCTACGCTGTGCACCCATGTATGAGTAAAGATACAACGTTGGGCGAAGGGGCGCTGAATTCGGAGGCTCATGAGAAGGTGGAGGGGGTAAAGAGATTCATGGAGGATTTCGTACCCAGTATGACTGATACGGTGCAATTGCCTGCGAATACATTTGTGGCGTTGGCGGCGGATCCGGATGCAAAATATATGAGTGGGAAATACATCGACTCAACACAGGACTTGGGAATGGTTTTGGAAGAAGCTAGGAAGGGCTCAGAGAGCAGGATAGAAAGAGAAGGCTTGTATATCTTGAAGGTCGACACGCTATAATGAGGTATCTAGACCAGAAGAATCCTTCAGTTTCCCCGAGACCCGGCGTTGGAAGCTTCAATATAGTTTTCCGAACCCACGCAGAGCCAGCACTCCGCTCCTGAGAACTGATCACTGCCTTCTTCTCTCTGGTGCTGCCAGCGAAACCCCACTAGCCGCAGCTTGCACAATTCCCAGTCCAAAGCTCTTGTTTTGTATTGGAGCCGGCTTGACTGCACCGTGGAACGCCTCGGGAAGATACCTCACTTGTCACCACTTTGCAGAGTCACTGAATTGCGGTCTCTGCTTCCTGTCTTGGAAGGGCTCGTAGCTTCTCCCAGCATCGCTTGGTAGATCAACTCACACCCACGAGCGCCAGCCACCGTTGTACTTCCACTTGCGGTGAAGCCGCAGCAATCATGCTGTATCTGAAGGCATCAAGGCCGCGATTGATGCATATAACAAACCCTTCCTCGTTCTGGAAAATGTCTTCCGATATCGAACCGAATGAAGAATGCGCTGTGCCCCTTTCGCAGCCCCAATGACCAGCGTCGACGGATCCGGTGTCGAAGACTGATCAACTGCACTGTCATCAACGCCATCATGAACCCAGGTTCCGGTGTAAAACGGCTGTAAAACAAGATCTTGAACAGTGTTGGCTTCGCGGGGTTGGAAATGACCTCGAATATTGACGAATACCCTCTTTCTGTAAATGGCGTACTGTTTACAATCTGCTTCATAGATTGATCCATCTCTGTCGAACCCGCTTTATACATGCATTTCTGCGCGGGCTTATCCACGGGGATTTCTCTCAGACGCGCACGTCCGTTGTGTTGAAATCAGATCCATTTCTCGCACGCCACTCTCGATACGTTGCTCAAAGGTCTCTTCAACGTTCTCAAGGCCTGTGCCATCGCTGAGAGACCATGATGGTAGAAACAATCGCGTCGTCGTGTTGAAAGGGATTTCCTCGAGATCTTGATGTGGTGCCCATTTCCCAATTATCGACAATACCCTCCCGACTTTGAAAACACTCTTCTCTCCTGGTTCAGACACCAAATAAGGTCCCCAGTTCCAACCAGTGTTCTCGTACCATCGGGCCCCGACTCGTCGTCCGCAAAGGCCGTTCCAGCTTGCCGAATTGTATCATCGTCCCGATTTCCACTCCCTTTCGTACACTGCCCGCACTACATCATTGCCACCGCATACAAAATGCTCATGGTGTACGCTCGGACGTATGAGTGCAGTCTGCCGCCCAGAGCTGAGGTCCTGGCCGGTATCCTGGAGACCATCTTCTAGGAGTGAACGGTCCCAGCGGTCAGAGGGTGTAGAACTATGTATGTTAGATTCTCGCAACAATTTTGCTTCCCTGCTATAATTTTGCAGTGAAGACATGTCTGTGCAAGTATCGAGGGTCAACGGTAAGGCAGCCATGCCGTCGTACGCACACATACATCTACTCTCGACCCGTGTTGCGAAAATGCACATCGGTAGCATGTGCAGAACAGCCTCTGCGGTCTGGCTATTCACTGTTCACTTGCCATTGTATCAAGGGCCGTAGAATGGCTGCCACGCCTCAAATCTTGCACTCTTGCTCCTCTCAAGCCTCCCTATTTTCACCGATTCTGTCATTTGGCAGATGGTTTCGACTGTGAGCCCATACTTCTAGCCACGTATGGTACTGCGGCTGGATATACACAGGAGCATTCGCCCGCAACTGGCGCCGAGCTTACAGTCCAACGACCTTATGAGCTTGACGAACATGAGATGCGTGCCAGCGATTTTGGGGTCACGTTCTAGGGTTTGAGGGATATGGGCTCGACGGACTGGGTGCAAGTGAGACGGGGCATCTGATCCGCCATTTGGAGGCTTCAGAGGCTCGGAGAAAAGCAGAAAAGCATGCGTAGTCGTACAGTCGCGTGGGTGCCTAGGATGCCTGTTAGTTTAAACGTCTTTGGCCTGTTCGTCTAATGAGTGAATAGCTTATCAAGGCAATGTGGAAGACGGTCCGCCTCCCTACTTCTTGATGCCCAAGCAAAATTGTCCAAAAGATCATCTGATTTATTTCGTCAAAATCAAGCAGGACCACCAAAGATTTAGTGCTGAGTAACACGCACACAACAATTGTGGCGACTGCGTCCGGTTGGGTCGGCCTGTGACCTAATAGTGTCCTCGTCTCACATGCGCAAACCTGAGGGAGAGACGATCTTCATGTATTATTTATATCACGTTGCAAAACCCAAAACGTCCCGGTACCTGGCCGATAGAAAGCCATACGGTTCGCTCTCCCGCTTCCCGTATAATCAAATCCGAACGCCCGATCAGCAGACGAAAGCAAATCATAACCTCCGATCCCGCCCCCAGAATCCCCCTCGGTACCAGGATTTCCTTCAGCAAACACAAACCTGAAAACCCCTTGAATGTTTTCCAGTATCCAGAATGTTCCAGCCCCTGGGCGATAGAAGGCTAGGTGATCAGCCATGCCACTGCCGTTGAAATCAAATGCGAAGGCCTTGTCATCAGGCGACTTGATGAAGTAGCCACCGATCCCACTACCGGGGTCCCCTGTGTGGTAGATTGGGGAGAAATCCCCTCGTCTATTCTGCAAGATCCAAATGGTGCCCGTACCGGGCCGGTATAAGACAATGTGATCTGGTTTGCCGCTGGAACTGCAATCGAAGGCGAAGGCCCGGTCGGCTGGGGACCCGAGGTCGTAGCCACCAATTCCAGCGCCTGGACTTCCTTGAGCATATACCGCAGTGAAGACGCCGCATTTGTTCTCGAGGATCCACATTGTACCCGTTCCAGGGCGATAAAGAACCAGGTGGTCGAGTTTGCCGCTGTGGGTGTAGTCAAATGCGAAGGCCCGATCTGCAGAGGACGCGAGGTCGTAGCCGCCAATTCCGGCGCCTGGACTTCCTTGAGCATATACCGCATTGAAGACGCCGCATTTGTTCTCGAGGATCCACATTGTACCCGTCCCAGGACGGTAAAGGGCCAGGTGGTCGAGTTTGCCGCTGTGGCTATAGTCGAAGGCAAATATCCGGTCCCTCGAATCCTGGAGATCATAGCCCCCAATTCCTGATCCGCCATCCGCTTGCGCATAGACGGGAGTGAAGTTATTGTTATTGTTTCTGACGATGAAGATGGCACCATGCCCTGGCCTGTATAGAACGAGGTGGTCAAGTTTGCCGATGTGGTCATAGTCGAATGTTGTGATATGGTCCAAGGAGGATCTCAGATCGTATCCTCCGACGCCTTCGACTTGGCGGCTCACAGGACTGTAATTAGCGCCTGAAGGTGAGACATGAAGACGACGAAAGCTCTCTAGCAGTACCATGAAATTATCTTCTGACAGTTTCCGACTCGCTTGGGTTTCTTTCAATATGCTCTGCGAAGTTTGATCGAGGCCTATCAGCCGACTGTCGGATACGTCTAGTCGTTTTCTAGCATTCATAGATCAGCTCTACTATAGAAAGGATGATCGATCTCGTACTTACAGAATCGAGATCTGTAGAACAGTCTTCAACTCATTACGATACATTTCCAAAGTATGAGCCAAAAGATCCAACTTAGCCTTCCCCCAGACAGTTTTGAGCGCTTGCCTGAAACTATCCCATTTGACATGCTTAGTACCAGACATCAATCTCAAGCGTTCCAGCTCATCCAAAAGATCGCTCGCAATGGCACCGCACGCGCTGGAGATATCCCGCAGATGCTCATCCTCTGGACTCAAAGCTTTATCCGCAGCCTTACAACTTTCGATGAAGGCGGAAAGGGTGCAGCTGGCGCTGAGAAGGCTTTCGGTAACCACTTGCTTGTGACGATTTTCGGGAAGGCTCCCGTCGAGACTTTTACGAAGCTCTTTGCTTTTCGTGACTATGCGAATGCTGTATTCAATCATTTGCCCGATGTTGGCGGCAAGACCCAATGCCGCCATGGCACTTGCCGGATCGCCCATGACAATGTCAGCAAGCCAGCGGTGGTCGGTGATGATACCAGCTGCTGTCACGGGAGCGACACGTCTGGTGTTTCTGTCTCAACTACGGCGGTTTAAAGGGTCTTTTTTATTGCAAAGCGGCTTCTAGGCGCAGACGTCGGCGAGGAGGAACATTTCCCCTTCCGAAAATAGGTTGCCATTTGTCTGCCTTAGGGAGCAGAGAAAGTTGTGTGGTGTAGCCTTGCTTGATAGATACAGAGGACAGCGCCAAGACATAGCCTAGGTTCGGGTCGTACCGTTCGTACAACGATTGTCCGTCCGGTCAAGAACAAAATATGTTCCCCGCCTCTACTTTCAGAGGTAATTTATCAACTTTCACCCCATGCTCCATCATCCATCCTCTCACACCGCACCCACCTCAATACCGACTCAGATACACCGTCCCCACCTTGCCCCCCGCCTCCATCCTCATCTCCACATCAACGGCAAACTCCACATTATCCCAACGTCTCAAGAACCTCCCGGCCCCCATCACCGCAGTTTCAAACTCCCCCCACGTCATATTCGCCTCCGGCTCCACCGACAACCACAAAACCCCCGCTCCCGCGTCCAATGTTTGCGAATATATAACCTCCCGACCTACTTTCCTGTAGGAGTCGACCCCGTGCCCGTGCGTGATGGCATCCGAGGCCGTCCGCAGGAGTTCCTGCGCGGGCGCGGGCGGGAGAGCGGCGCCGTAGTCGTAGAATTTGAGGAAGGCGCGGCCTTCTTCTATGTAGTAGGGTGCTGCTGGGGCGGGGACGCTGGAAGGGGGTGGGTCAGTGGCAGGCGCCTATTTGCTTTGGGCAAGATAGTGGGCTTACCCGAGTTCACTGGGAAGACTTGGGTTGGAGAGAAGCGCAGAGTTGGGAGGGAGCGTCAGGTTGATGTTTGCACCGTTGTACAGGGTCAACAGTGATGTCGCGGGAACCGTTGCTGCGAGAGAAGCTCCCAGGGACTGGAGCATGAGGCAGTATGCAGTCCGCATTTTTTCTTTTGAGGATGATGTCCGACTTGAAAGATGGACAGCTGTATTTCATGGCTGTTCGCCTAGCCAGCGCCTCTCTGTTCTCGCGCATCGCAACTGGCACTCGCTTCTATTTCCGAATCCTTGCGCTTCCATCTCGATGCTCAGGCCAAGCTGCCAAAGAAGCATGTGACAGTGTGAGAAGTTGAGATTCTCTTGGTTTCACATCAGATTTTACTGATCAACCCGCGTAACTGTGTCATCCGTGATCAAACTTACCCTGAAAAATGACATTCTCCAGTCAAGGCAAGAAGCGCCCCGTTAACGTCGATAGTCCTGGAACTTAGAGCGTTTGCGGACTACTGTTTCGACTGTCAGTTTTGTTGGCATTCACTTACTCTGTGCTCTGCCAAATTGAGCTTGGTGGGTTATTTGAGTGCCTTCTTCATCTCTACCGCCGCCTTGTGGCGCGTAGCAAGACTAAAACAATGTCTGGGGGAGCGAAATTACTCCAGGCTGCACTAACGACTGAAACTGATGTGTTTGAGCGCACATGGACACTTTGCAGGTAGAATGCATTGTCGGAAGATATTGCACTCTTGAGCGGTGGGTGGTGTCGAACCGAGACGTCCGGTCACCAGGACGTAGGGACGGTTTAGCCAGCGAGTATCTAGTAGGATGTGATCTTTTCAATTGGAGATCGGATTCCGTCGGGGAGCCTTTGAATGTAACGAAACACGATTGTCCGATTGCAATAGCAGAGTTTTAGATCCAACGGTTGTGTCATGAAAAGATGTTACAGAGTCGATGTAAGTATCCCCAGAAGTCTTATGCAACCAAACAAAAGCACAAGCACAAATGCCCAATGATTATCCCAGAGTCTCCTCGGCACAGGGCTCATTTACCGTTTTGTTCCATCTCATGCATTTTCCTGAACCTCTCCATTTTCTCCGTCTGTTTTTTCCTTTCCAGCTCAGCTTTATACTGCCTATATTCTTCCTCTTCGTCCAGCGGCGCACTCTCTCCTACGGATACAGTATTCGAAAGCTGCGGGGTGACCGGCGGAGTCACCGTTTGCTTTACGAAAGCGTCGCTGTCGCGGCTAGGGGCTTGCTCGCTCGAGCGACTGGGCCTCACCGCTCGCTGATAGCCATGCTTCTTGCCCGACAGGGTGTCTGTGCCGCGCTCAGGGTTGTATGTATCGCTTCGCATCTCGGAGATCTGCGCCTTTTGTTCATGAGTCTGGCCACCCATGACGCTCTGGAGGTAGTCGTCGAATTCTGCGCTCGTTTTAGCCACCGCCTGGAAGTGCCGGTCTTCGAGCGCCGGCCTGAATGGTGGCTTGTCGCCTGTCTTTTCGCATTTTTGGCATTTTTCATGGAATTCGTACTCCGCCAGTGCAACGGCTGTCTGGAAAGCATTGCGAATCTGACGGCCATTCCATCGCTTGCCATCTTTCCAGTGGCTCCTGGCGAAAGCTTCAATCTCAGATCTGTCGACGTATATATCGCGATTTGACTTGCTCAGCCGGTTCAGATTCATTGCCCAGACTTCAAACGTCTGGCTTTCGTCGAGTGGGGCATAGTACAAGGAGATATGTATGCGGCTCTTAAAGGCTTCGTCGAAAGAGCCGATTCGGTTGGTAGTCAGGAACAGTATGCCGGAGTAGTACTCGAGAGTGCGCAGGAACACGGAGACGAGGGCGTTCCGATCAATGTTGTCTCCGCCCCGTTCTCGCTTCGCGAGAAAAACATCCGCTTCGTCCAGTAAGAGCACGCATCCCCACCTGCGGGCTAGAAGAAATATACCCTCAAGGTTTTTCTCAACGTCATAAGCAGTCTGCCCAATATCGCCGCATGTGATAGGAAACAACGGTCTTCCAGTGTAAGATGCCACACTTTCCGCTGTCGATGTCTTGCCGACTCCAGGAACACCATGGAGTAGCATAATCAAGCCTTTACCTTTTCCACGGACTAGATCGATTTGCTGTCTATGTGTAACCCCGTGCTCAACGGGCCGTGAGCCGAGCGCATGACTTTTGACCAAAGCTTTCACTATCCTTTTATACTCATTTGGTATGACCAGATCATCGAAACCCGCATTCTGGCCCTCAAAAGCATCATTTTCCTTAATGTCTTGAAGAAGGTCGATGTTCAGTGGGACTGGAGTAATCATTAGCATCATGAGTCCACATTGGTGAAATTTGACGAACCCCATTTGCGGCTTCGCAAAGAGAAGCCTTGTACACGATACGGCAAAAGAATCATTTGGTCTTCGCTCAAGACCTGAGAAACACCACGGGATTCAAGAAACATTCCATGTGACTCAACGTTGAGGAATCTGTCCATTTGCAGCTTGTCAAATTTTGTGTCATCAACAAGACTGTTGTGATCCACTTTCAGGCACTGGTCTTCGTCTGATGGGCAACGATCCTCGTACACCTCCCTTTCGTCGGCTCTCGTCGCTCCTTTAAGTCCTATCTGGGGTTTGTGAGATGCATAGTCGGGTTGCCTGAATGATTGCGTGAAATCGATGATTACCTCACTTTCTATCTTCGCTCAGGAAGCGACCATCAGCATTCTATTCTAACATGAATAGCTCACGTTTTTCGCTTACCTCTTCCTCCGGCTCACCGAGGCTCAATCCTTCGTATCTTTTGTGCTTAAATTCACGGTATTCAGCAAAGCGTCGACCTCGCTCGAGTAGTGTCTTTGAAAGTTCTTCCTCCTTTTCTGCGTAGCTCATGGGATACACATCGAGTTTCGTGATCATCCTTTCTCCCTCATACTCGAGTATACTGATAGTCTCCTGTACAGGACCAAAGTTCTCGCCATCAAAATCAAATCTGACACAGTCGATGTTGAAAAGCGATACCTGGGACTGTCGGCGGAAGACTTCAGCGGAAGGTCCAGTTCGTCTTGTTTCAGCATCTTTATCTCCACGTGCAATGTCAGTAGTCGTCAATAATGGCCGACCCCCACTGACGTGAATAACACGGTAGGCTTGGTGAGGCTGCCTAGAAGTCACCACGAGGTCGCCCGGCTGAAAAAGATGCCAGAGGTGCTCAAATCTAAGATTTGAGATTGCTCGGTCACGAATGGCCTTACGCAGTGTCAGCAGTGACCCCAAACGCGAATCAATCGTGTTGACAAGCAGCTCCAGGTGGTCTCTGGCATCTCTAAGGCATGTGCACACATAGGGAACTTCCTCTGGGATCGGGTTCGCGTCTGGTGACAGATTTGATCGCTCCGAGATCTGGGTATTCGGGTCATCAACTGGAGACACGCTGGACATACCGGATTCCGCTTCAGAATTGTCTTCGAGCTCCTCTTCCTTGTCTTTTGGCGAGCTTTGTTCTACCTTCAGATAATGATTGTTGAGAGCGTTACTTTTCTGCAAGACATTGGAGACGTAGTCATCCGAATATTCGACGTCGTCTCTCTTCGGGCCCAAAATGCTGACTACCTCACTAACAATCTTGTTCAGATTATGAGGCAAGGTCTGTGCCTCAACATCATCTACGTTGATTTCGTTCAGTAGTTCCACACATTTTCGGATTTGTTTCTCGTAAGCAATGATGTGCTTAAAAGGGTAGATCCACGTTTCGGATGGGCGAATATGTTCGCCGCTCAATAGCTCTATCAATATCAATGGCCACGGAGATCTGAACGTGAGCCTTGCGATATCCGAGAACCCTGGACGTTGAGTGTCCGCCACGTCGCCTTTCTTGTCGTAATTCATCCTTTTGTCGGTAAGTCGATGACTCGTTCCTTGGCTATGAGTGCTGGAGTGAGTAAATTCAAGCTGAGAAGAGGACGTTTCCGTAGTAGTAGCCAAGAAAATAGAAGCTTTGTCCCATTTCGTATATTGCCGACCATTCTTCCAATAGTTCAAGCTTAATTGCATGACTTTCAGAGGCAACGGGTCGGCACACGGTGAGTCGAGAGTTGCTTTATCGCCATTGCTACGTGACAGCGAAATTAGAACAAAGGACACCTAAGGATCACAATGTTGTGCATGACTTGCCTTTTCTCATAGGGTCTCTCCTTGGAACCGACCTCATAATGTAATTCTAGTAACTCTTTTTCTAGCACGCCAACGCGATTTTCGAGGGTCTCCGTGTAAAGTGCTGCCACTCGGGCATACTTGGGTCCCTTTTCTTTGCAAGCTTCAAAGAAGTGTGGGTAGTGCTCAGGTTTTTGGAAATCAACTGGTTGCAACACCCTTGCATCCATAAGGTCTTCACTCGAAATGCTGACATCGTCTTGGACGTCGTTGGGAGGTGAGTGTGCATTCTCCTTAGTACCTGCTTGTGCACCCGCATTCGTAGCCTCAGGAGAGTCCGGAAGCAGTTCCTGATTAGCGGAGTCACGAGTCTGTACATTCTCCTCGTTCACTCCATGCTGTACTGGGTGAGAATGAACTTCCATTGCTTGTGAACGGGGCTCGGCGGGGTTCAGGGACGCACCGCTGGGGACTCTCTGAAGCTAATCAGAGGCAAGGTCGCCAGCCGTTGAGGTTGAGTCCATAGAAATGTGTCGGTGGCTTACTTCTAGGAGGCTCCTGGTAAAGACTAGTCTTGCGCATCAATTCAGTAAGGCAGGTAAAGTAAAATGCTGCACGAAATGGGCATCAAATATCTCAACACGAGTAACTGGTTGAGGATTATTCTAGCGGATGGCTGCTATAAAACGAAAATTTTAAGGAACGAATGCTGAGATCTGGATTGTGGGAAGTGCCTGGATAGACGCGGAGAGGCTACAAAGATGGACTCGCATTACGCTCGAGCACATAGAAGATCAGGCTGAGAAATAAGCGCTGTAACACACCTTGAGGGATGCCCAATCAATAGAAGCCATTGCAGTTGCCGTGGTTCCGGTAATTCCCAAAAGAGAGGGCATAGTCCGCTGAGCCTGCTGAGATGGTGGTCCCCCTGCACAATTTGGTCATCGATTGCCGGATTGCGATGGGGCCAGATATGTCTGGTAAATTTAATTGGTTCCCACCCCACCTATTCGTATTCGGTGGGGGTCGGACAAGGCTGTGGGAGGTGTAGCGAGTCCTTGTGCCCGGTTGTAATTGAGATCTCGAAAGACTTATGCTTGGTCAAGATCAGTATTCCGCGCTATGTGCATTCGTGAGTCCCAGCTGTTACTAGTACCTTGTGCTGTGAGATCTCAATGGAACATTCGAACCGCACTCTTCCCAGCGCAACCCCAGTAGACCTCCCTGTGAACGTCATGGAGTATCCCGTCAATGACGCAGGAAGGTGGATGCAAAATAGGCTCGACGGTACAATCCATGCGGCTTTCAATACCGATATTGATGGCCTCGTGTACGACACTGACAAGGAGAAATTTGCGCTACTTGCGGACGATGCCCCACTCAACTTGTATGTAGGATAGTACGAACATTGATGCGACAACGGATACTAAATCCTCAAGGGTGACTATATATAAACAAGCGGAGATCCAGAAACGAGCATTTATTGCAACGGTCAACAAGTACAATACGGTTGCCAAACAAAGTGGGTCCATGCAGATGGACACAAGTGCAGATTACACTTGGAACGACGTCTTATCTGCGCAAGAGAGCTTTTCTCAAGAACGCGAGAACGTAACGTCGCGAGGTATCAAGGGTATTATGTACAAACAACTCCGACGGTTCGGAGACAATAGCGAGACCTTTCAGTCCTGGCTCAAACTGTTGCCAACAGAGTCTCATTATCTTTCTGTGCTCTGCGGGGGTTTGACATTGATCCTTGGGGCCGCCCAACAAATGTCTGAGATTCGCGAAGACGTCCGGAACTTCATTGAGGACCTCCCGTCAAGGTTATCCAAGGCCAAGGAGTATATCGGCATTTTCCAAGACTCCATGCAGCTGCATCAATGTAGCGCTGATCTTTATGTTGCTATTCTGAGCACGCTGGACGATGTTGTTCAAACCTATCATAAGCATGTTGCACGTAAGTGTGTACCGAAGCTGTTTGAGGGACAGGTTGACCGACACATTGTAGACCGATTTGGCTCCGCACTCTTGAAACAAAAACGGAGTGGGAAAGAGCTTCAGAATAAAGTCAAGAACGTGCAAGACTGCGGGGAGAGGCTTGTCAGTCAAGCGTACATCTGCTCTATGCAGATTCAAAAACGCCAGCTCGATGGAGAAAAAGACTTGACGAGGTTATTGGTGACATCAACGAGGAAGCAGGACCTTGGTTTCAAGACAGTCGTTCTCCAGCAGAACGACATGATGGAAGTATTACAGTTGCAAGAAAAGCGAATCCAGTCACAAGAAAGCTTGCTGGAAGGCCAAGCAAACCTGCTCAATCAATTGCTTAATACTTTGAAGGCGACTCCCTCCCAAATATTCGAAGCACCGCCTAGGCCGACGTACCTTGAATGCAGAGATTCAACCGATGGCTATCAGACCCCTCGAGGCCGTTCTCCATCGCCCGGCGCAATTCGAAACCAAGAGAGATCTCGCCAGCGGCTCAAAGACCTCTTGAATATCTTCGAGGTCGATGGCGAAGCTGACACCGCAGCTAAAGACGCCTCCATTCTTCTGCATATAGTTGGAAATCTAAGCTCGGGCTCACAGGATCGCACAGTAGCATTGATCACATCGCCGGTTATACAGAAGTGGTTGACGAGTACCGTATCGCTTCCGCTCATTGTTAATGGGCAAATGTTTTCCAGTGAGGGGGAAACCCGGCAGTCACCGCTTTCGTACTTCTGCGCCAAGCTTGTAGACAGCATCCTCCCGCCCAGCACGTCCTCACAGACATCAAGAAATCGTACCGTATTTGCTGTGCGGTGGTTTTGCGGGCAGCACACTAATTGCTATGACTATGGTCCAGGATTGACAGACTATGAAGCTCATCCGCCTGGTATGTTGAGCAATATGCTTGTACAGCTCATCGTTCAGCTTCTTGAGTGTTCCTTCCTACCGCAGCTCGACCATCTGTCCCTTCCAAAGAATGATCCGCAGCTGTTCGAACTCTGCAGTCTCTTCAACTTGCTGGTAGGAGCACTGCCAAGGGGCTCCATTCTGTTCATTGTGATCGATGGGATCTCCTATTATGAGGATGAGGAGCGCCGAGAGGAATGCATGGAAGTCCTGTCAACCATGATGGAATTGACCCGTGGGGGGCCAGGATCTGCCAATGGGTGCCTGATCAAACTGCTGGTAACATCTCCACTGAGGTCCCATCATGTCCAGCACTTATTCGAAGACACGGACATCTTGGATTTGGACGAGTACATACCTCCAAACGGAGGCTTCACGGCCTTGCAGTGGGATATGGGTGTTGGTAGAGTAATAGCTGATGCTTAGAGTGAATACTGCCAGTTCGCTGTCATTTGAAGCATCATTGCTGTGCTGCGTTCTTATATGAAGTCCGGAAACCTCACCAAATCTGATCGTCAAGATGAGCAACCAGCAAGCTCTACTTTACGTGCTTTTAAGAGACCGTGTCATTTCAACTAAAAATGCTGCCCAAATATTCAGTCGTACATGGAGATATTGCAAGATGCGTGGTGGCTATTAGGCGTCATGTCTGTGTCTTTTCGGCAGACCTTGCGGACAATTGACCATGCTTTGCCCCTTGCAGTCAGTGCTGGAGATCATGATCATCCATCAGTGCTTGGAATTGTCGGCCGGCAGGTACAGGACTCACCATCCAGAATGTTCAACCACGCATTCTTCTCAGACCATCTCCGTGCATATGCTGTGGACTCCAATGTAGGAAATAATGGTGCCGATAAGGAAAGGGACCTTGTTAAGAAGCAGCTTGTCTTGGTCGCAATTAAAGACCATCACCCGGAAGATCGTTGTCTTGTCATAGATACATTATTGGAGCCGGAGCTGCCAGAATCAGAAGTCGTCTTCAGGATACTCATGTCCTTTGGGCCACACGTAATCGAAGGTAGGGTCATCTGTGAGCAGTGACGGTGATTTGGGTAAGACGGTGCAGGTCACGCGTTGTAGCTTTGCGAACATACATCTCGACATGGAGCGATGTACTAGAGTTATGCCTGTGGCCCATGGTATTTCGAGCGGCTTCTGGGGCCATTTCTCCGCCTTCTAGGCGCCTCAGTCCTCGCAAACTTCAAGTGAGCTATTTACTCCAAGCCATGGCTAATTGCCACAGGGCCACGAAAACCCAACGCAGATGAAGCTTGAGGTGGAAGACTGGTTGCCTCGCCGCCGAAAGAGGCATTCAGCAACAGCCACTCACATTTCGAACCCATTCCACGCCTCCCAAGCGCTGCCCATGACCTTAGCACTCCCTAAAAAGTGGGTGCACATTCCACAAGTCGATGCGCTGGCTGATTTCTTGCTCCCTCAAGTGTTTCAAAGGCCTCGAGATTCAAGTATAAGACCACTGTCGGCTCAATTTTTTGCACATGCCTTATCCTCGTAGCTTTCTCTTGCTAGTGCTCCGCTGGGGTCACAAGTTTCTGTATTCTCGCTGGGTAATGAGGTATTGCGGTTTCGGGACGAGGATTCCTTTGCTTGTTCCCCGACAGACAAATCCTCAATTTTTCAGCTGTATGTCGGTATCCCGCAAGTCAAAGATGACCGAGCGTGTTATAAGACTGAGGTTGTGACAACCCCAGGCAACGAGACGGGGTTTGCAGCTTGGCAATACACGTAGCTGCACACTTTTTCTAGAGCAGAAGACCTGCCGTCGCTATCGACGTTTGTGAGGCAATAGAATGGTCTAGAAAGACTTGAGTTGTGCATCCCCAACTAGATGGCATCGCGGCATTTTTTGCCCAAAATCAAATAATTGCTGCAACAACGTCAAAGTCTGCCCCCATCCAAAATAAACATGCCACCGAACCTCAATTTTAGAGCCGTTCCCGATCTGCAGATGATGCCGTCTATGTCATTAAAGTGGCACTGTTAATCGATGATAAATGTTGTACATAAGGACATCTGAATGCGCAAATCAGCAGGACACAACGCCCAAGGCGAGAACTTTAGTGACCACGCGTTGTAAACCATATCAAGGTTGTTTCCAGAATCAAATCATACCCAAGGCAGTGAGTGCGCGCGCACAGTCTACTTCTGCACGTTTTCTGCCACCTATCTCAGCCTCAAAGCTGCCCTTCTAATATTCTTTCGCTCTGCCTTGACGGGTCTCCTCAAATTCTGAGCACGATCAGCAGAACATCCTCATTTGCGCACCATCTGTTCAACAACGTCAATTCCAGTCATCTTCTTCATCATCCCATCTAGCATTCCGAACGGCAAAACCGTGCCAACCCACGCCAAACCCGCCTTGGCACCCCTCCAAACATTCGGCGGTGGCCTCTTCCTCAACAAATCCTGCACAACTAGTCCCGCCCACTGCTGCGCCGGCATACCCACATCCTCGAATGCATCGCCACGCATCGTCCTCTCTACCGCCTCTTTCGCTGGCTCATAAATCGAGCCCTTCGGCAAAGAAGCTTGCGTCGCTTCCTTTTGATTCTTTATAAGGTTGGACACTACGGCTCCTGTCTTCAGATCGACAACCGTGATGCCGAAGGGTCCCAGCTCCAGCCGCTGCGAATCTGAAAACATTGCCATCGCAGCTTTCGAGGCGTTGTACGTGGACTGGAACGGTATTGTCGTAACAGCCGCAATAGACGTTTGGTTCACAATCATCCCCTTGGACTTCAGCAGTAACGGCAGAAAAGCCTGCGTCATGGCAAGGTAAGACCACACATTGAGGTCGAAAATGTCTTTGGCCTTGGGGATGGAGAGATCGGAGACGGGCATGCTGTACGCGGCGCCGGCATTGTTGACCAAGATGTCGAGGTCGGACAGTTTGCTGACACAGTCGGCGATTGAGGAGTCGGATTGGACGTCTAATGTAAGCGTTTCGATGCCAAGAGACGCGACCTGCGTCATCTTAGAAGGATTTCGAGCCGTAGCAAAGACGTGCAGGCCGGCTTCATGGAAGGCGATTGCAAGGGCGGCGCCCAGACCGCCGTCTGAGCAGCCGGTTATCAGGACTGTTCGTTTGGAGCTGGAGATCTTCTTGTCTGCCATAAGCTTTGCCTGGGTTAGAAGCAGCAGAATTGAAATTACTGAGAAATCTCGAAATTGGGTTTGAAGTAATCGGAAGAAAACCCGGGAGAAAGCACTATAAGAGGGCCAGATAATAAAGGATCAAGGGAAACCGAAGTTATACTCATGTATTCATAAGCGATTCGTATACCAGTCACAACGACCAAGTAGTCAGATTTTAGGATATAATCGTGGCCCCACTATTCGCTACCTACCCGGATATGCAATCTCCAAAATTCGAATCTTGATAATTTATCATTCTATAACAAATAGTAAAGTATTGAAAAAACGAAAAAAGAAAAACATATATATGCAGAGCGTAAGAGGTAATGATTTCTAAAACTTAGACCAACACCAAAAACACTTCACCAGAGACGCGTCCTCCCTAAAAGACAATTATTAAAAGCGCATCACCAAACGTACGTCCTCTCTAGAAGTGCTCGGAGAAGATCTATACTCGTATATACCCGGTAATGCCCGCTACCCGATAATGCACGGTCTAAAATCCGATCAATCCGAGATTTCAGTAATTCGTCCTTTCACAACAGTGAAATAAAAATATCAAAAAATCCAAGATTTTTAAAGCTTCAAGGATCTTTCAAATCAGAGTTGTATCGATAACGTTGTATTATAGTGTAATAAAATCTACCTGAATTCTGTAAGCCCTACGCCGCGTAATGGCGGGGGGGGGGTAAGCTTGGGGTGAGTTTCCGGAGGGTATGCCCCAAAACTCACCCCCGGTTTTATCGGATCTAAGACCGTGCATTATCGGGTAGCGGGCATTACCGGGTATATACGGGTATAAGAGCTAACCAACTTTGGCGATGCCAAGACCTCGCGCCCTCGTCAACCCCATGTTATAGGGATCACAAGATAGACTCCTGGCACAAAGTCCATGCCATGCTGAAATTTGGGGTTTAAAGAACTGCAGACTTGTGACCCAAAGTGTACGATATCTAGAGCCCTTTGGAGGGTAGACTGTGAGGTTTTTCAAAAGCTTGAGATTTGAAACCAATCGTACTGGCGGTGAGAATGGAGATGAATCCCTTGTACCGAGTAAGATCTTTCTGCGCTCTACTGAGGTATGCAACCCATGCGAATGCATTAAACCTTGTTTTCATGCCCTCAACACCCTAACTCAGCGCTGCATGGACTCCTTGCAATGCCAGTGGAAATGAACTCATTACACATATAGAAATCGAACTTTGTCAAATTTGTCCATCGTGCCTCGTGACATTCTCTTCGTCCAGTAATCCCTCCCTAGCCTCAATATTACCGGCCGATTCTCCATGCTGGTGTCTTATAACGATCGACCCGAATCTCGAGCCAGCAGCTGATGAATTACTCTCAGAAGCCGATTCGAGTCTCGTTTCCCAGGTGTCACTATCCCCAGTGTTCGTTCTTTGAGTCGCAGGTCTGGGCACAGCGCTCAGTCGACGTATACCTGGGCGCGATGAAGACGATGAGTGGAATGTAGTCGCAGGGCGGGTGGAGGATGAAGAATGAAAGGTAGAAGAGAAGCCGCCCCGCCGTGGAGTGGCTGAAGAGATAACATTTTCGGATTCGGAGCTGGAATCCATGCGAATGTCACGCTGTCGAGAAGCGGAGGATGACATCGAGGGGGGGGAGATGGGGCTTTCGGGTTCCGAGGAGTCAACATGCAGGATATTCGGTCGGATATAAGATGAGAGCGATTCTGACTCGGCTGAAGATTCATCGATGCGGTTGGAATGGATAAAGGCCTCGGAATCGGATGAATCCATACGTGAGTGGCGAGGTCGAGTAGAGGTCGAGGGCATGTCCGACTCGTCGGATTGGTAGCGGCGATGGAAAGGCCCTGTAGGCATACCATCCCTTGTCCACCCGGCCTCCGACTCCGAAGAGTCCGCCCGTTGTGAGTCTGGACGTTGGACAGGGAGTCGCGGCTCTGGGGATGTAAGAGCGGATCGTCTGTTCTCCAGGCTTGGAGAGCGTCTTTGCTCAAGATTTGGGGACCGGTGACCGGAGTCGGTTGAGCTCAAGCTGGGCGATGGAAGCTCTTGACTTGGATCAGGCGAAGGTAGTTCAGGATAGTTCCATTTAGGCTCTGGAGTTGAAAGCTCAGATCGTAACTCCTCTGGACTCGGAGAAGGCATCTCCGACCTATCCACAGGCTCAGCTGGCAGCTCCATAATCCGGCTCTGGGGTCGTCGCTTCTCTCCGAAGGGAGCGAAGAACTCATGACCATCAGCTTCGGAAAGCGGGGGTGTCATTGGGACTTCAGCAACTGTGACGGTCGTCGTGGTATTCTTCTTAACCTCTGGCTGATCGGAGAAGTCGTGCTTGTGGTCACTCTCGATATCGGACATAGCCCTGGGCTCTTCAACAGGAGCCATAGCAAGTTTTTGGGATTGGCGCTTTCTACGAAGACTCCGGAAGATGAAGAAGGAACCGCAGAGAGTAGCGATGAGGACAATCGCGATGGCAATTCCGGCTATAGCTCCTGTACCAATACCGTGGGAGCCATTGTCGGTGGTCTTGACGATGGCAGTGTTGCTTGAGGTTGGATTGGCGGTTGTAGTACCGGTACCAGTGATGTTGGCATGTGATATGGCTACGATATGGCTTGGCGCAGACGTGTCGAAAATTGCCTGTGAGATTGAGAAGTTGGATTGTTCATAGTCGACGATTAAAAACCTATTGGTAGTCAGCTTCCGATACCTGAGGCACCATCACGAGATAACTTACGATTCTTGAAGAAATGTTCGGCCCAGCGTATATTGTGTGTCGTCGTTTCCACGCTGTAGAGGAAAAAATCGGGTCTGAGATGAAACCAATGGAGCCGTGGCGACGAGATCGAAACTGGCGTAAGGTAACGTGATGTTGATCGAAGGACTTCCTCCAGTCAGACTGTTTGAGAGTTGAAAAACAATGCTGGCGTTCTGCTTAATGTTGGCTTCATGACTGCTGTCATTGACAGTGTATAAGTTGTGGATTGGGTCCAATGTGAGGCCAAATGCTTGTTGAAATGCCTCACATGTCGATTCGGGGAGCCATAAATACGGAACGGTTGAATCCACGAGTGCAAGGATACCTTGGGACAGCAGTGGCGTTTGGGTAGTTGAGTTGGAGTAAGTGATCGACTGTAGGCTAACGACAAGCTGCCTCGTGACCATAGGTGCGAAGGTAAAAGAGACATCATTGGGGACGAGTCGTGAGGCATCGTAGCCACCTAATGTCAAGCTTCCGTTGGTACCATTTTGCCCTGTCAACAGTTAACGGCGAAAGCGTATCATCTTTGAGGCAGCCTTACGGTAAGAAGCACCAGCAGTGTAACCAAAAGACAAGCTTGGAATCAGGTTCTCATTTCTGAGTGAGCCTAGGAAGCTTGGCGATGTATCGCTACTATCTGTGCTGAAGGTGATGTTCTGAGACGAGAGGCCTAAGCTGCCCAGGTAATAAGTATTGGTTTCAATGGCAGCTATCACTTGATGATCCAAGGATACGTTGGCGACATCAGACTGCCCAGGGATCCCAACAGTGTCGTAGCCAAAGTTGCCGATCTGAGAACTAGCGCTGTATGGGTTGCCCAGGTTGGTCTCCGCCCCAAGCGAGTAGAGTGCATTGACGTTCCAGGTGGATGATTTCGTGGAGTCATACGCTCCACCTCGAGCTCCCGTACAGTTAACTGGATAGGCAGGACCGCAACCTCCAGGCGCGACCACCCAGGTTGACGAAACCTCGGTGGACACCAGCACTTGGAGCTGTTGAGGAGGGTTACCGACATTGATGAGGAACGAGGACCAAGGGCCATCGTCACCAACGCTGCACGGATGTACTACATCAGCGTCCGACCTCGAAGCTTTGAGAATACAACGTAGATAAAGGTAGGTAGACGTACAAATCTCCGCTTGGAGCAACCACGATCGGCGCAGCCTCGATCTGCATTATGAATTACCGGTTTTCGGAAGATAGAAAGACAGAGAAGTATACACAGAATTGAAGGGTAAGGAAAAACTATAGGTATGAAAAAGGTATCATCTTTGGTACTGGCAGTAATAATATTGATGCCTGTGGGTTAAGGAAGAGAGATGTGGAGTTGCGCTGACACTGTAGGCAGGTTATATTAAGAATCGGCGGTGGAAGAGACGGAAGAGAATTAGGTATGGATGTTATGCTGAAGGATGGAAGGGTCTAGAGCATGGGGCGCATGAGCATGGTGTGGTGCTTGGGGTAATGCCGGTGGTACTTTAACAACATGGCGTGGGATTGCGATGCGCTTCTTAGTTCTTGGGGTTCGTTGGCTGGAAACATGCAAACCCCTCGTTCTAACACATGCATGTCACGAACATTTCGCTTTTCTTCTTTGCTTTGCCAATACCTAATAATAATATCTGTCACTCATGTAAAGAGTAGACGATAATCATTTCCCATCCGGATTGCTGGTGTTGATTCCGATTGTCTACAGCATGAACCGAATGGTTAAATCACGTTGATTGCCATGTGGCTGCCCGTCTTCAAGCATCCGCGATCGCCGGGTACTTCTCTTCCATGGTCAAGAGAAGGCTGAGGCTGGAGGGGGGTGACGATAGCGGGGAATCCTTGCTGTCTAGCAGGTGATGTTGGCACTAAGTACCTATACTGAACGGCGTAGAAGATGCGGTAAGCACTAGCTTCTAATAGAGCTTAGCGGAGATTGTTAGTGTGTATGATTGCTGCACCGCTTCTCTTTGACTCGTCTTTTCTCCTCTTCCCCCACCCTCTCAACGGCTGATGTGAGATAAAAAGCGCCAACATTATCCAATCATACTGTCATCTTTCTCCGACGTGCAGCGGCGCCAATTATAAGCTAAGGAATAGAGTTCTGCTCAAGGCATCCTACAGGATTCTGCTACCAGAAACATGCCCAGACAGCCTTACAACCCTCACCGCTCAGCAACAGCCCCAACCGCATCCTTTCGCATCTGATGGCGGGAGAACGCCCATACATGGCACCAATGCCGAAAAGGAAGCTGACTGTTACCATGGTCCATCGATCGGAGGCCAGTCAAGTCAGCGGCCCGAATGACGAAGAGCTCGCAGCTTCGATAGCTTTGATAGCTCCGATAGTGCCTTGGAGGGTCCCATGCGGTCGGGCCCTACAGAACTGAGGCTTCCCGATGCCGTCATGCGTCAGTCCGTCCAAGCCCCCGGATGGCGTTGTGAGTACCTGATCGCTAGCAAGAAGATCTTTACCTAGCTCTGGAAGTGGAGGCTGTTGTGGAGGCCATATATGAAAGCTCTCAGCCCAAATAACGTAAATCATACAACATCTGCTCCCATAGAATCCTGTCGCTACCCTCATTCCTCGCAATCAAACAGTAGACAATGTCTTCGTTCTTGTGGCTCTTCTTCTTCGCAATAAGCTTGCTGCAGAACCCTGCCCTTTGCGTTCCCCAAGGTAAGAATTTCTCTTCTGTCTACGTCCTAGGTCTTCATGAAGCTAAGAATTTTCCAACTAGGGGCACTCATTACAGGCACCGAAGCAAGCGAGTTCTTACCATCAGCTGCCCCGGATTTGGCCGGGCCAGGAAATGCCGCCGCCTCATCAGGCTGTGGTGACTGCTATTTGGTCGCGGACGTTGCTGGTGAGCATGATGCACGGACTGAAAGATGGAGATACTATTTGCTGAATCGCCTACGTCAGGAGTCGTGTGGTATCAGGAAGTGTTTATAAACACGGCCGCAACCGCCGTAGTGTCAGTGGGCGTTGGCAATGGCACGAGCGCGACAAGAACATCAGTTCACCAAAATGAGGGTCAATTCACCGTCGGCAACCCAACGGCCACGGACGGCTCGGTTGCTTTAACGCAGATAAATTTCCAACCGACTGCCAATGTTGGCGGAGCTGAGTTGTGCGTACGATCGCTCTTACATTGTAACACAGACGCTGATCTCAACTAGGACATCACCCACCGCTTATAATGTCTTTACCGGTACGATTTATGAGCATGTTATTGAAGGGCCATCAGTTGCTGACATATCTGCAGCATACTCCATCACGTCCGCGTTTTTGTCGAATGGAGTATGCGTCACAACTTCTGGGTCCGCTATTCCAGTTTCCCCAGCTTATTCGGAAATCTTATCCTCTGCAAACGGCCGAGTTACCCTCGATGCGAACGGACAGCAATCATTCATCGATTACTTGGGTTTCAGCACTTGCTCGGCTGGAGGGGAAAACGTCGTTGCGACAGCATTGGTCCAAGTCTTGAATACGACGACTACTACTACAAGCACGTTCTCGAATGTACCGCTAGCTGCTGTGATGGCTAGTCTAACTATAGCTCCTGTAAGTCTTCTAAACCAGGTGGTCCGAGATTATGGTTGAATGTGCTCTGCCATCCGGCAGACTTTGCCTGAATGTGTCAACTTTTCTCGACGCTCTTGAGAGCCTGAATATGAAGCAGGCAATGCTGATCGCTATCTCTTCCAGCAATCCGTCCCCGCTGCAGCTCCAGGGGCCACTACCACTGCCGCATCGACCACGATCTTTCCCTCTGTTGGTGGTAAGCAATCTATTCACGTTACACGTTTTTCGTCCATAGCCACCTCCGAGTCGCAAGCTATGTTTTGGTTGCATCATATACTTAAGAACCTTTGAAGGACTCGGAAGTTGCTTCTGAAGGCGAAGACTGACTCCGAAAATCTAGTACCCGAAATTGTCATAGGCAACCAGACCATTACGCCCACCCCGAACCCTGTCGGCTTGTCGATCTTCAACGGTACATTCACCGGTCACCCCATCACGGCGTCGGGCAGTGGTGTCGCCTATGCCACAGGAGTAAATTTCACCACGACCCCGGAAATTTTCACAGGAACGGCAACGTTGAATAGAGCCGATGCTTGGTTGGCGGTATGGCTCACTGGTTTCCTGGGGCTGGGAGCGTTTGTGTACTATTTGTAGAGATTGGGATTGGGATTATGGGGCTTGACTTATGATACCGCCAATAGATAATGTTAATTGAATGACGTTCATGATCAAATGTCCAATCTTTGAACCAAGGATTGTTCCTGAGGTCTGAGTGGTTGACCATGTAACCATGTTATCAGGCGGGAACGTCCCCTGCATCCGTGCCGAAGACCAACAAGGGGCGTACCATTGCCCCTGTACCTTATTAGATGCGTCGTCAACGGTCGATTATTGATGCATGTCAACATGATAATGTGCGGGCAGATAGGTAGGTAAGTTTTGTCATGCGATTAGCGCTACGAGTAATCTTAGATTAGGGCTAAGAAATCAAAAACATTCTGCCAAGCCTTTCGCGTTATGTATCATCATTCATCATGGGAAGGGCGATGGAAACCCGTCCTCGTATACATCTTCGCTTCTCGACTGGAAAGACAAGATCCGAGTCCACCTTGTATTTCTTAGCTCAAGCTTTCCACGTGACAATCCACCGAGTCAATTCGTGCAGGTCGAATGTACGGAGAACACATGTGTCAATCCCACTTACCCTGACCGTGACCGCGCCTTGATGCTCATCCGAGTAATCACAGCATACCTCCCACGTTATGACATTGAAGGTATTTCACTTCGCTGGCAAACTCAACCAAGGATTGTTCTGAAGTGCACCATCGGAGGAGATCTCGTTACATCATTGGAGTAGTTGGGGTCAAGCGGAGGACTGCCTGCTCAAAGATTTCCTTCTTTCATTGTCTACTTACATTGAAAGTTCTGACCCGTCCACGTTGATTGCTACTAAGATCAAGCACTGACTAGGTTTCCAAACGCCATGGCTTCCAGTCCTACCAGCAATGGCCCCCAAAACGAACCCCTCTCGCTCCGCGTCCTCGGTCTGAACTCCGGCACCTCAAATGGACAGCGTGGAATGCGTTCTATGTCACTTCACCCAAGCCTCGCCTACATCTCTCCCCCACCTCCAGATTCTCAGATACAATGCTATCGACAATCCACAGTCAATCAGCACAGACGCTGGTCTGTCGCCCGAGGATACAGTGGCCACGATTACAAGAATAACGGCCGAGGCCATTGTGAATGCATACTACAGCTGGGGCCCAAAGGACAAAGAAGACAAGCTTGATTTAGAAGAGGTCTACATGTGCGGTGGCGAAGCTTTCTACCCTAATACCTGGGACTACGTGCAGCAGGAGCTCGGCCCTAACGTGCGAATGACCATGCTGGACGAGTCAGGCGTTGGCGGAGAAGCGAAAGAGGATATTACATTCGCCTTCCAAGCTACGGATGCGGTGCTGGGCAGGCCATTGGTGGTGCCGCAAAGGGTCGAGAGAAAACCATCGACTATCGTGGGGAAAGTCTCTCCAGGAAGGAATTACATGGAGCTGACGAGGACCAGTATGGCCTTTGGAGGGAATTTTGAGGGCGATTGTCTGCCGCCTGTCAAGGAGATGGTACTTGAACGATGGGAGGGCAATCGTGCACACAAGTAGAAACCAAGGAAAAGGTGAGCATCGAAAATGGCCGGCAATTTATGACTTATCCAGGAGACCTAGTTTTGCAGGCTGTGAAGCAGTTGGAAGTGCTATTCATGGATTGGAAGTTTTCCGTCTTTCGTGAAAAAGGTATCGTTGTGGTACGTAGATGCCATACATGTTCTCTCAAAGTCGCTATCATATCTGCATGCATATGTCTCTCCAAATCCTCCACATAATCCCTCTAGCTCTTTTCCCAACGCCAATCTCAATTCCTATGCCCTATCAGCAATTAGCCCATCCAATCAAGCACATCCTGAAAACACTCCGAGGCATGGGGCAAACACTCACAAAAGCGCCAACGTAATATCACCTCGAATGCTCGCCTTCAACTCCAACTCTATGTCCAAATTCAACTCCAGTCTCAACTTCAACCCATCCTGCTTCATCATCTCCTCGCTTTGCCCCTCTTTCTTCTCCCCCTTCCCCTGATTCGGCTTCCCACCCCGCACCGGCATCTCCCCGCGCTGCGCGCGCGCGTGTGTGACTGGACCGTCCATGGATTTCTCGTCGCCGCCGACGTGCTGGAGGGGTTGCGTGGCGCCGCCGTTTGCTTCGGGGGAGGACGATTCTGCTTCATCTTCTTCTTCGCCGTCTTCGTTCAATGAGGGCATTTGCTTTTTCTTTTCTTGAGGTTTCTGCTGGGCCTTTCGGCGGCGGGCGCGGCGGGATTGGGAGCGTGAGCGTTTTCCCGGGGTATCTGAGATTTCGGAGTCGGTCATTTCTTTCGTTTGAGGACTTCCCTTTGGCGCTTCGCTGGAGGACATGGTGGTGATTGAGGGGTTGGCTGGGAGGAGTGGCGTGGGTGATTGGATGCTCTTGAGGGTAATGCGCGGGATTGGAAGTGTAGATGAAGAGGCTGGTCTGGATGGGGTCAAGGTGCTTCGGTCGTTGCACCGGTGTTTGGTTGGATTTTGGGACGATGCTTGTCGCCTCAACTCAAGATGACTGAAATGAAGAAGAGGCTGGTCAAGATAAGTCTATTGCGAAGTACATACCGTTCAAAAATAGAAGAACGTGACAGTTTGTTGAAGGTTTGTTGTCAGCCATCTTGATGTTTCGCGATTTCGCAGACCGTCATGGCTGCAGGGATCTGGGCCTGGTTCGGGTCTTTGCGTGCCAAGGTTCAGCCACCGGAGATCCCTGTATTTCACGTTTCTCCACGTTCTTGCCAGCGTTCCTTGAGCATATTTCCCACGGTCTTTGCAACAATGGTAAACCGGACAGAAGCAATGTCTTTACCACTTATCCCCCCCTATATTCTGGGCTCCTAGGAGTCAGCGCGTCAGAAGATTTGCAGAAATCCACAACATATCATCCATGATTCAAATGTGCGTGTTCTCGTCCAACGCCACATAGCTCATACTTTCGGCAGGGATTCGGCAGGCAACTCGGCGACTATGCACCCGGATTGGCTGCTGGTCTCGTGCCCCTGTCGGCTCTGACCAATCCGAAGCCATGAAAGACTGCGCTGTGACGGCAGATTCGAGGGCGAGGACCGGGCTTCTGAGTGGGGGACGCGGTTCGAGTGGCTGGGTCCGGAGAAGAAGAATCAGAGAACGTCATGCGCTGCGTTTTGTTCTGTCCATACCAGCCATCTCTCTTGTTTTGTGATAGTTGTTCCTTGCTTACTGACGTCCCATGAGCTTCATCTTCTCGTACACTCCAAATCCCTTCGCCTGCGCCCAGCACCAGAAGATCCCATCGACCCAAATTGAATGCAAACTCGCCCTGACACCCCCAAGCAGGCCTTCCAACAACACCCCAAGATGGCAGAAGAACAGTCCCGCACGGACGAAAGCCAAGCCGTCGCCGGCGCCAACGCAGCAGTGTCCGGCGGCATAAACGCCCAAACCCCCCAGAAGAAGGTACAGGAGACCAAGCGCACACCACCAAAGTTGCCGAAGAAGGGCTCGCAGCAGAACACACCCAAGAAAGAAACACAGAAAGGCGGTGACTCAGAACAAGAACCGTCGCACGCGTCCGAAACAAATGGCAATGCTCCTGCTTCGCAACCACAGTCTCGCGCACAAAGCAAGCGCAGGCAGAGTAGGGGAAGGGGTAGGAGTCAGGCGCCAGAATCTGATACGGAGAGCATTGTGCGCAGCGACTTGTCTGATGCGCAAGGTGGTCGCCGCAACAGGAATCGCAAAAAGAAGCCCACGAAAGAAGCGGCACCTCCTCAGTCCAACAAATCTGGCGGTGGGCCTCTCGATTCCCTTGACGAGGTAGGAGAAACCACCTCCGGAGCACTGGATAAGGTCCAGGATACTGCAGGCGGCGTGACAGATCAGGCTGGCCAAGCTGCAGGCGGTGCAAAAGATCAAGTTGGCAAGACTGTTGGTGGACTGACTGGTGGAGGGGAAAAAGGAGAAGGAAAAGAAGGGGAAGATGGAGGCAAGGGAGAGCAGCTACGACTGCGCATCGAACTCAACTTGGATCTTGAGATCCAATTGAAGGCGAAGATTCATGGAGATATCACTATTGGTTTGTTGAATTAGCGTGATGGATCGGTAGGCCTTGAGGCTTGATGTATCAACATGACCTGCGGACGCAGGAGGAAGAAGCGGGTTTGTTTTAAAGCATGCGTAATTTTGTCGACTGAATGAATGTGGATTGAGGTCTTGGAAATGGGATTTTGGTATACGCCTGGGACCGATTTTCCAAGGCTTATGTTGTCCTGTATGTCTGCATGTCGGCCGCCATGTTCTTGCAAGATAGAAATTATCAAACCTTGGTGATTGGCTCGGACATCTCTTGCACGACCCGGAAGACCGTGGCGTTCCCAAGCATGGTCTCAAGCAGCGGGTGACCTCGAGCGAGCAACCACAAGATAAACACAACTACTTGAGGTTGTCAGTATCAAGAATCATCGAGGAGTGATTCGCTCATGGTCTAGTAGCTCGAAGAGGTTAGCGCTACTCTAATATCCAGCCCCATAAGGCTAAGCGATGACCTCGCACCACTCGATTCTGGCTCAGCGAAAGTAAGAGCTTCAATTTCACAACTCGACAACGATAACAAACTACACTTCTGTGACTGCGTTGGTGGATGGCTGTTTAGAAGAAGGTTAGCACAATCTGACACCCTGGTACCACGTCTTCCTCCGGAGACAGTGCATACGTGCGAGAACTTTTGATGCAACCGCTATGTGACCAGCTCTCAGCTACAAATTGCTCGACTCACAGCCTGACTTTGCATCTTGATTCAAAACCACCTCACATCATCTCCATAAATCACAGCATAACAGACTTTTAGAATTCTGACTGACCCACCAAGTCACAGCCGTCACTGATCCACCGCAATCATGGGTATCTCACGAGATTCACGTCACAAGCGCTCAGCTACCGGAGCAAAGCGAGCATACTACCGCAAGAAGAGGTACAGATCATAAACTTCGACGGCGACACTAGTCTGACCTTAGGGAAACAGAGCTTTTGAGAAGGGCCGCCAACCAGCCAATACCCGTATCGGCACTAAACGTATTCATCTCGTCCGCACCCGTGGTGGTAACACCAAATACCGCGGCCTCCGTCTCGAAGCCGGCAATTTCTCTTGGAGCTCCGAAGGCATAGCCCGCAAAGTTCGCGTTATTGGCGTGTCCTTCCATCCTTCGAACAACGAACTCGTCCGCACGAACACGCTTACCAAATCGGCCGTCGTCCAAATCGACGCCGCACCTTTCCGTCAATGGTACGAGGCACACTACGGACAGAGCTTGGGAAGGAGACGTCAGGCAAAAACTGAGAAGGAGGGTGAGGAGACCAAAAAGAGCAAGAGTGTGGAGAAGAAGCAGGCGGCTAGGAGTGCGGCGGTTGGCAAGGTCGATACAGCGCTGGAGAGGCAATTCGAGGCTGGTCGTCTGTACGCAGTGGTGGCTTCGAGGCCTGGGCAGAGTGGTCGTGTGGATGGATATGTGCTCGAGGGAGAGGAGCTTGCGTTTTACCAGCGTGCTATCAGGAAGTAGAGGGATGGCTAGTTGCGTGCTACAGAGCATTCGGACATGTCGATTGCTTTTGTAATCTCAAAAAGATCAAAATGGAGATCCTTTGAAAGTCACTTGAAAGCTTGCGCTCGTTCTACATGTTTTCATCTTTGTACTGGCGATCTTGGCAAATACTTGTAGTGCATGCCTCAGGCTTCAATTTCCTCACCGGAGCAGACACTCCAACCACAAACTCCTACCTCCTAGACCAAAGCCCGATTGAGGAGCCTTCTCCATGATTTCGGAAGTGAAGCACATGAAGTAATCAGGCAGGTCTACTCTCAGCTCCGTGTATGTGTTGTACATAAAGCATGCCCAACCTCCTACCCTTAAGATCCCCTTCTTTGCTAACGTCTTCAAAAGCCTCCATCATGTCTACCCAAACCGTCCGCACCCGCCTTGTCATTCTCTCCGACACCCATACCGCCTCTCCCCTTCCTCCCTCCGACCCCACCCATGCGTACCGCCTTCCCCTCCCCAAAGCCGACGTCCTCCTCCATGCCGGCGACATCACCAAAGTCGGCTACCTCTCCGAATACCAAGCCATGTTCGACATGCTCAAGGCAGCTCCTGCAGAGCTCAAGCTAGTAATACCCGGCAACCATGATATTACGCTGCATGAGGAGTTCTACGTTAGGGGGACGGGCAAGGATAAGCATACCAGGGCTGCTTGGGGCATGGAGGATGTGCAGAAGATTAGGGATATGTGGATGGGCGAAGAGGCGAAGATGGCGGGGATTGTGTATTTGGAGGAGGGGGTTAGGACGTTTGAGTTGAGGAGTGGGGCGAGATTTACAGTGAGTGGTCTTGGTTTCGTGTGAGGTGATTCGGAATTAGCGGTCCAAAACCATTGCATGTTGAGGCTCGTAGGATCTGCTTTTCAAAATCTATAGGGGAGGGGCGCTGTCTAGAAGAGTCACCGTTTGGAGATGCTTTCCTTGTAGCGGACGTGCTGGAGGGATGGATCCGGTGAGATGCAGCCACATCGAAGCACTTCGCTAATATCGCTCCAGGTCTACAGCTCTCCATGGCAGCCTGAGTTCTACGATTGGGCTTTCACCTATCCTCGCCAAGTCGATCGCTTCAACCCCAGTCCACCAGTCGTCAAAGACAAGACTGCAAATCCTGTTCCTAACCACCCCGAAATCGACATCATGCTCACTCATGGCCCGCCCAAAGGTATTTTAGATGAAACAGACAGGGGTGAATTAGTTGGCTGTGACCACTTGTCAAGAGCTGTCAGGAGGTGCAAGCCTCGCCTTCACTGTTTTGGCCATATTCATGAAGGCTGGGGTGCTGGAAGAATTGATTGGAGAACGAAATCATTTGAACAAGTGAAAACTATTAAGTTGCAGGTGTTTGAGGACCGATGTGCCAGCGTAGATATTGGTGAAGCTGGAGACAAGCCTCTGAAATGGGGTCAAGAAACACTTTTTGTTAATGCTTCGATTATGGATGTGAGCTATAATCCTACCAACGCACCATGGGTCGTAGACATCGACCTGCCCAAGAAGCAAGACAACAATTGAGAGCAAAGGCAAGGGCGAAAAAAGCTAATGACTAGCTCGGGTGCTTTGGAGGATGGAAGAAAGCTCATACTTTGGGGCAAAATCTGCTAAGGGTAAAGCCCATACGCTCAGATGGCTTGAGGTCGCTGCCCTTTAAATGTAACTCAAGCTGGACGGCTCCCCTGAGGCTTCTGAAGACTCCCAGCTTTCAGCCTCTTGAGAGTGCATATCTCAAGGGTATGAAGCCAGCTGGTAAAGGAGAAACTAAACGTGACATTGTGTCCATACAATATCCTGCTAGTGGGCTTTGCCAGGCCGTCATCACCATGTGATGGAGGTTCACTGCCTTCGCTTAGGCGAATGACTGGAATTGTCTTGCACCCTCAACACATTCTTTCTTCACAACGCCCACACAAGCACACGACACGACATCACAACCCCCCCTCCACCAAAATAACCACCAACCCTCCACCCTCTCCCGACAAAAATGCTACCCTCCACCAGCCCCGACACCCCAGGAACCATGACCTTCATGGACTCCATCCTAGACCACCGCTCGCCCACGACCGACCACGTTTTCAAAACCGGCATCGCCCTCTCCACCCACCCGTCCACCTCCGGCATCGAACCCCTCCCGCGCCTCGACTACTTCCTCCTGAACCGACTCATCACCCTCGCGCGTCCCTACCTCACCAAGCGCCAACTCAAGCGCATGGACTACATGGCCGACGGCCGCCGCAGCTTCTACGAGGCCCATCACAAATCCCAGGTCGCGTACCGCGACCTCCTCGACGCGTACGCCTGCGCCGAAACCCTCGACCGAACCTCCGAGGCGCTACGCCGTCAGCTCGCTCACACCCTCGCCGGCGACGACGACACCACCAACAACAACACCAACAACAACGACGCAACGGCGGCGGCCACGGTGCGACACCGCCTCGTCACCCTCGAGACCCAGCGCCGCGCCACCAACGAAGACATGCGCCTCCGCCTCCACGTCCTCCGCGCCAAGGCCAAAAACCGCCACCACGTCGCGGCCTGGTACTCGGACCTCAAGGTCGTCTTCCTGCGGGACGAGATGCCCTGGCTCGCGGCGTTGGGGCGGCGCAGTTACGACCGGGCGACGGGACGGCGGGGTTCGGATCGCGGGTCCGACGGCGGAGGAGGGTCGGGGGCGGGGGGGGAGGTGCGGGAGTGTGGGCTTGGGCTTGGATGGGATGGGACGGGGGGGGAAGAGGGGGGGATGTTTTGAGGGAGGGCGGATCGGGGATTTTGGCCCCGTGCTGTCGTTTGGGGTTGGAAGAGGGGCTGTGACGGAGGGATGGGGGTTTCAAGTCAGGAGAGGAAGTTGGGCTGGAAAGCGAGTTTCGGTGTTAGTGACAGGACGAGTACGTTGGTCCGGTGTGTTTTCTCGGTATCGGAGAGCGAAGTGGTGTCATCAAGATGACGATGGGTGCCGATATTGAGTTTAGTTAAAAGGGTATCAACATTAAAATGCACCGTGTAACATGAAACTAGAAGACGCCGCCAACCCGCTGAATCGCTGAAGAAAGGGATCTGTTCATAGCCTGCTATTTCAGATCGAAGAGTTTGGATATCGTTTCGCTCTGTTCCGTTCAATCGCTCCGTGTTCCTCCTCTCGTCGATCAGAATGTTATGTACTGGCGTGCCATCCATCCATATATATCCAGAACATCCCATCCATCTTATATCTACTCCTCGGCGACTCCGTTCATCGAGTCAGCCTTCGTCTTGTCCCTTGCGCTGACCATCCTACTCAGTCCTAGCCGGCTGAACCTCCTTTTCACTTTGCCGGAACGCCCACTTTGCGCTGTCGTCGGCCTCTCGGCGCTCGCTTCCATAGGCAGAGGCGCTGTTGTATTCGCTGATGTGGAGTTGTGAATTGAACTGTTGACAGCTTGGCTGTACTTTCCTGAAGACAATGTACCATCATCAGAGGGCGCGGAAACTGATGAACCATTCGCCTTGGGAATGTTTGCAGTTGAGTTCTTGAGGAAGCTGAAGCTGAGGAGCGAAAGAGGCCTAGAGCGAGGTTCTGAAGGTAGCTCTTCAGAAATGTGATTGGTGCCGTTAGTGAGAATCGGGGTGACCGACGACGGATTGCCCGCAGAGGAGTGAGGTGGTGGAGTGAAGAGGTGATGTTGGTCTGGTGTAGGATTAGGCGCCAGGAGCGCCAATTCCGGAGAAAAAGTCCTTCGGAAGAGCTCGGACAGGGAGGCTCGTGTATGAGCAGGATCGGAACCCACATAATGGGAAAGACAGTGCTTCAATATGGAGGCATGATCGAGAAGTGCAATCTGAAGAGCATTCTGAAGCGGTGAGAGCGCAGGCCTCTCAATGTCTTCATCAGCTTCTTCGGGTACTGTAGGTAGAAGCTGGCGGTACTGAGCTACTGTTGCAGCCGAAGACGGGTCGACAGAAGAAAGAATAGCATCAGTAAGGCCAATGGAATTCGACTCATCACCACTAGTGATACGCTTATCGAGCGTGGCCAGCTCTGAAGTCTTCCGCGCAGTTCGCTCTACAGCTGTTTGCAAAGGTGAAAGACGCGTTGCGTCGACAGCAACGATTTCGCTCCTTCGCAATATCGTTGGGAATGATTCTTTTGTTCTGTAAAGCGTCTTCTCGATCCATTGATTCTGGACCCCCGAAGCCGGGAAATGTCGTTTCGAGGTGACTGCAAAGCAGTCTGGTCTTGCTGACGATATGTAATCTCTGGTCGATTGCACTACCTTCGGTTGCTGGTAAATTGGGTGATCAAGGTCTCGATAGACGCTCACGGAGGAGATTTGAAGGTATTGACCTTCTTCATCCTCGGCCTCTTCCTTGGATGACAGTTGGACAGCTGGGTGTAATTGTCGCATCCGATCCGTGAAAGCAGACTGTCTTTCCGACGCTTCGCCTTCGTAGATAAACTGCTTATCTCGGAGACTGGGTGGGAATCCGAGACCTTGATATGTTACCCTGAAGTATCGATGTACCTGCCATTCACTCTTCGATATGGTCTCGTAGATTTTCGCCATGGCCCGTTGTGTTCTTGCGAGCTTGGCAAAGTCGTAGTGAGAATGTTCATACTGATTGGCTAGTTCTCGGTAGCTTGATAGAGCACTATGCCAAGCTTCGCCTTCTTCAAAGTACTTGATCATTTCGAAGTAAAGCCGCTCTTTGCGATCAAACGATGATTGCTCAGGAAACGCTGGGTCCGTAAGCGGTTTCAGACTCGTCGGTTCCCAGGTGTATAGATCCGAATGGAGGCGCAAAGCCAAGCCGGCCTCGGTTTTATTATGTAGCCTCGCTTGTACTTCTGCTAGCTGGTGTACATAGCGTATACACATGTCCTCTTTCTGCATGTCTTTGAGAAAATTCATCAGCTGAAGGGTGTTCATTATCCGTAGGGATTCTGTTATATTAGGACTGTGCACGGCCGCCAGAAGTTCCAAAAGCTCATCGATGGTTGATATCATATCCTTGATGGCCTGCCACATTGGATCACCAGGAGTGCTTGCGAGAGACTTAAACATGTCAAGCAGCTCGTTAACGAACATCTTCTGGACCAGGCTCTCTCCGATGTTCTTTGATTTGAACAAATTTTCGAAGCAATCAATCATCTCAGCTTGAATAACGGACAGGTCCTCATTCAAACTCCATTCGCTAATGATCATAGCTTGCAGAATCCTTACAGCAACGCTTCTCAAGCCTTCGTGCACACTCAGGCACAAATCGATGATCGGTGCCACAAGGCTTGGCACATACTGCACCTGGTATCCACCCAGGCGTGGCAGTCCGTATCGTTTCTGCTCCTCTGGGCTCGCTTCCCAGCCGATAGCTTCCCAGCTACGTTTGAGTAAACCTGCGCCCTGTTCTCGAACATCTCCGGCAATCTTCCACACTGCTCGCCTCTTCTGCTCGGGAAACGTCTCTAGTGCCAATGTGTCACTTCTGACAAGCGTGAGTAGAGTCAGAAGGTAATGGCTCCAAAGGTCTGTGTTGAAATCGTCCGCATCATCAATGAAAGGGATGTAGTTGGACACCATTCCTTCGAAAAGCGACTGGAGGATCTGCAGCGACGCTTTGTGGTGGAAGATGTATAAGCTCAACCATTCCTTGGGGAAAGCACCACCAGATAGGATTGACATGACGACGTCCAGGCTAGAGGACAGCAGATTCGTATATTCGATCTCTGCACCTACACGCTGCGATGGAAGGTGTGCGCCTGCTAAAGATGCGAGTAGCCCAGCGAGCTCCGTGATCGCTTCGTCAAAGGCTGCAGGACTGGCAAGAGGTTTTGAAGAAAATGGGTAGGTCGTAGGATATAGAAGCGAGAGCTGGTCATTCTTCGGTTTGCCGGATAACAAAAGGCTGTGGTAGGATTCTATCGCTTTTCTAAAATACCCAGGGTCCCTGAAATAAGGCTGTTCTGCTTGTTTTGCAGCAATAGAGCAGCACAGCCGCACTTGCTCTCGCCATTGGGTTGAGTCGTCGCTAACACCCCAGTATGAGTCGATCCATTCCGCAGTAGCAATTAAGACCTGTTGCTGGACGTCACCTGTTGAGAACAAACTGTCGGTTGTCAGGTTGAGGATGAAAACCAGCTTATGTAAGATCAGTTTGCCCTCTACTCCTGTACAAGATTCTAGAAAGTCTGTAGCAATCTGGAGGATCTCTTCCTCAGAGAACAAGCCTTTGAGTTCAGGAAGCCAGGAATGCATGTGCTGGACTACGATAGTTTTGCTGCCAACTAGTATTGGTGACGAGTCCTCCATCAAACCATTGAAGGCGCCGAAGATGCTCTTGACATCTCGTCTAAACGTTACTTCCGTATTGGCACCGATGCCTGCCTCTCTAGTCTCTTGCTTCCTCCGAGCGCACACAATGAATTTTAGCAATTGACGGCCGACCTTAAATGCTGCGCGAACACGCCTAGATTTACTTGGATCGGCCGGATTTGCCAAGAGCCGAAGGTAGCTCCTTATCAAGCAAGGGGTCGCGAAGGGGTGATCGAATCTCGTTTCCACATAAGTATCCACAAAAGGCCCTAGATTGAATCGACGGTCGTGTACAATGCCCAAGACTGTTACAAGAGCGTTGAAAGCCAAGTCCTCGCACTCGTCCTTACCATCGTATCCTGCGAGGATGCTGAACAAAGCATCAAAGACATCGTTAACCAGCTTGACGATCTCGATCTCTGGCACGAACGGGAAGCGTTCTAGAAGATCAAGAATCTGGCTTTCCGATTGCTCTTTCCACCTCAGGATCCCAAGCAAAATCGTATCTTGTGAGAAGAAAGTACTGCACAATTTAGTTTCGAGCTTTAGTGTAGCAAGTGGCCCGGTCAAGATCTCGTCCTTCACGTCTCCGTACCTGCCTTTTGAGTTCCATTGCAACGCCAGGTAAGCTCCTCGGCCATTATCTGAGCTCGAAGTCACTTTGTCGTACACATATAATAGAGGCGCGTGAGACCCGTCTTTCACGAACGCCTCCTCTGTCCAGAGAGGCATCCAGCTCAGCGCAAATGGAAACCCGGGAGCATCGGCTATGCTCATTATCAGATGGGCCCCACGCACATCATCAGTAGGTATGACGAGTTTGATCATCTGATCCCAACGCCCACTTCTCTCGACCGCAGACGTACGCCATGCTGTTTGTCCCAGGCTATTGGACCCCGGGAAGATGCAGCGCTCTATCCGCTCACCAGACGTTTTACGAACTTCCAGTGTGAGTTGAACATTCTTCAACTCCAAGCTTGACGCGATGTGTACGGTGCCGCGGTCTGGGTGTAATAGCAAGGCTTGATGAGGTAAGAATACTTCAGATAGTCGGACATAGAGATCGGACCGGGGTTTGGTGGGAGTACCTGGGAAGTCTGTCTTTGGCGTAGGGACAATGTTCTGGAGTAAGGTAGGGGTCCGATCAATCAGGTCGTTCGCGTCTGGATCCGCAAAAGACTGAAAAGCCAGACGAACGTACTCCATACCTTTGCATCTGGTGTATCCACCATTGCGACTAGAGGCCAATTCACGAATTACTTCGTCCCAGTCGTCTGTTGAATTCAACGTATCCGCGCTCGCATTTGCCACAGCAGGCATCCAGATGGATACACTTTGATCTCCAGTCACGCCATGCTTGAAGAGATGTTTGACGTTGAGGACGCCAACTCCAATACTTCTTTTCGCGTACTGTGGTCCTTGTTGCGTTGAGGGACGGGATCCATCTCCAGTTGTAGGCCTTGTACCATTTTCAAGAGAAGGGGACTCTGGGGTAGATGGCAATTGAGTTGTCCTGGAATCATTCTGGGCCCTTCGAACACTGCCGAATTGTTTCTGTGCCCACATAAGACTCTGTCTACCTCCCTTAATCGACGCTGAATTTGAGAAGCCACTGGTATTGGGTCTCGACGAAGATGCATTCTCGTCAACGGGATAGGCCCTTCTCGGTTGGCTGAAAGGAGACTTTTGTATCGCTTGGTTCGCTTGGACCTTGACGACAAGGTACAGGTCTGCGTCTGATCTTGAGGCATCTCCAATATCATTGGATGTCAGATCAGTGAATAACGTCCGATATTTTCCTACAGAGGCGAGCTTCTCGAACTCTTCCTGTGGTGGGAGGTCGAGAACAAAGCACTCCGTGAGCGCTTTTGGCGGCTCTCCTGGACTTCGAGAGCAGAGGTAGAATGTAAGCGTAGGTGAAACCAGGCCGTTGTTCGCCAACGCTTTCACATCGACCATGAGATGATAAAGATTGATAGGGTCATGTTGAAAAACCGGTGATCTATCAAGCAGACTCATCGTGGATTGAAGCTTCGTCATCTCAATAGCCGAGTCATCCCCCGTCAACAATCGACCACGCTGCTTCGGATCCCGCACGATGATCTCGCTGCTGAGCATCTTGTTGCCGTCAGCAAGGTTCCAGACTATCTCTTCCCGCAGTGCATCGAGTTCTCGGGCTGTAAGGACGCCATGTAAAAGCTGCCTACGAGCGAGATCTAGACGAGTCACCAGATCTGAGACTTTCTTCAAAACGGAGTAGCGTCGAGCGAGCAACAACTCGTGCAGATTCTTGGAATGCCATTCGCGCAGGCAGGAGGCGATCTCGTCAACCAACGGCTCGGAGCTGGAAGTGGGCGTTTCGTCGCCAATCTTCAGCATGGGGACGGGGGCCTGTGGTCGCCTTGTATTTTGAGCTCGTGAGGTGTCAGACGTTGGGGTAACTGGACCTGGTGACGATTTTGGCTGAAAGCTTGTGAAGGACCGATGGGACAGCTGCCGCGCGAGAATCTTACCATTGGTGGGATTCGGCAGGTGTTGAGAAGATGTGCGGGTTGGCCACTGAAGGGCAGGCGAGATTTTAGGGCTGCCTCCGTTGATGGCGGGTCTCGTTCCTGCACTATCACTGCTCCGGTTTCGGCGCATGCTACCGTTATGAGCCAAAGAGCCCTGGCGTCGGGGAGTTTCGCCATTTGAGTGGTCAAACCTCGGACTGTCGCCGTTGGACACCAAGCCATGCGCGTGTCCGTCCAGTCCAGCATCTCCTAGGACTTCTCGAACCTCCACACAACATCTGGGAAAGATACCCGAGAACACGCTTGCCTCCAATGTTTGTCCTTTGACGCTTGTCAATCCAGCAAGCAATGAGGGCGGGGCAACGAGATATCCACGGAACCACGAAGCATCCTGGCCACCTTGCTCAATGATATACAACTCGTCACCTATTTCGAGGGGGAGATCTGCTGGAAATGAGGCTTGGAAGGGGTAGGTAGCAACCGCGAAGGCTATCCGAGGCAGGGGACGCCATGGCATGTCGACGGGCGCTGGCTCCCCTCGATCCGTTGATGCAAGAGATGTTTGCTGTCTTGATCTGCCGGCGGCCTACGCCCTAGCCGAGTAGGACTGATTGTAAGCATCAATGCTTAGCAGCCGCAGGTGTTGTCGAGATATTGTGCCCTGCTCTTTCTGTTTGCTATCTAATAATGCAAGATGCCGAGGATGTCAAGCAGGGAGCTGGGGGCTTAAGTGGGAAGCACTCAGATGAGCGGGATTAGCTGGAAGATGTATGGCACCAAAAGACAGATCAACACCAGCAACTCCAGCAAGGTGTCAAGCCAGAGTATGGATTTTGAACCGGTCTCGAGGTGACATAGACGCGCATTGCCATTTTTTGGCAGGCTTGGCAGTAGTACAGGGATTTTTGGCCGAAGTTTATCCATACACCCCTTTCTACTTAGGTACATGAAGGCTTGGCGTGCCTTTACATAGAATTCTTAAGCTGGACAGTATATCTCAAACTTCAGACAACCGACAACATGAAATGGCCAGCTCACTGATCGTACGGACGCGCTCGGATCATCAGCCAGCCGCGGTGTTTGAGATGCTCTTATTACGCTATAAACCTTCGAACAATAAGGCGGAAGAATTCGTACTCCACCAGCGGCAGTTCTAGGAGGACAATGTCTCGTTCTAGCAACGGCACAAGGCCAGATCGACTGCTGCGCAATGACGTAGAGCCTGATAACTACAGTGGCTGTTGGATGCCTCTTCTCGATGCCAGATTTTTCATCTCTGTTGCACCTAACGAATTACTTCACCAAAGTGGCCAGAATTCGATCAAGATCAAGATCAGAAAATGATGGTAGGAGCTCTGACAGATTAGAGAGTCATCGGTAGGACCGAAGAGATCTTTATGCAGCACTTCCCATGGCAATTCGACCTCCACGTGCCTCCTCGGCTGCTTTTCCAGGGTACCTGTTTTTTTCGGTCACTCGGAAGTGTAATGGGAACAAAAGGCTCTGAAGGTTCGAAGGTTTGCTTGGTCGACGGAACATGGTTCTAGGCCTGGTAGGTTCGCTGGTCGAAAGAGCACATGACAATCCGAACATTGCACCTGGGTCTAATATCTCATGCTCTTCGTAAACAGATTGTGCAGGCGCCACCAGATGGTGAATAATTCGAAAGAGTAGGGAGAGGTTGCCGTCGAGATGAAAGTATCTCGGATGAGGATCAAGATGGTTGTGCGCGGGAGGACCAAAATTGTCATGTGTACAAGTCTTCGTGTGTGGATTACGTATGTTAAGCAGTGTGGCACAGAGATAACTCCTGGTCGGAAAATGATATTCCATAATGCAAGATAGATTGGGCTCACTGCATGGTTTTGATCGCCAGGACCGCAATTCCTTCGGACGCCAGGAGTATAGTACACGTGGAGGACCTGACCTGATGGGGTAGAGAACACGTATGTCAGATCCCTCCAGTCGGTCCAGACCGCGCAGCTTCCACCTCTGCTTCATACCAGTGATCTATCGTCATTTATCTTTCTGTCGCATTCAGGCCCTGCGTCTCCTGGAGGTATGGCCGCATCCAATACGACTGATCCGTCTGACTGCTTGAGCTTGGTGAACCGTTGCTCTATGTGATCATTGTCCATCCGGTACTCGTTCTTGTCCTCCAATGCAGGTGGACATTGTACCAGATAGATAAGACCTGTACCTATGGCGGGCCTGCTAACGGAAGCCTCAAGTTTAGTATCCAAAATACAGCTTCCTGAGCAGATAACATGACCAGCTTTTCGGTCTTCTGATTTGGATGTTCGGACGGGATAGTCAGGCTTGTCACTACCAGTAATTCGGTATGACAAAATAGCCGAATGTACTCTATGACAATTGGCTCCTGGAAACAGCGGCGGAAGTCGAGGTGTACTGATTCGGAAGGCAAGCTGTGTAAGGATCTTGGAGATTGGACCGAGACTGCTCCCTTGGTGATTGGCCACACCAAGCAGTCGTCTCGAATGTCCCAGTCGTAAGCATCGTCACATCTAATAGCTCGCGGAGCAAGACTAGCTTTCAGACTCTCCCTGTGGCACAATTGGACTCCTAGTCAGCTTGGAAAGCGACATACTGGGAGACTTCTCCTTCATAGTAAATTTGGCTCTTCCCTAGAGTCTAATTCACGGACCATACCAGCAGCCCAAGGGACGTGCTTCAACATGGCACTTCTGCCGACTCAACGGGCTCAAACTTTTCTACGTGTCCAACAGAGACGACAGACTCAGAGGGATCTGCAAACACAGGAAACGTCAGACCTAGCACCACTGCAACAGTGGTCGATGGCCATAAAATGTTCTTCAGGACTTCATGACACGTAAAATTTCCCTTCGCCTCTCAGACAAGAGTGCACATCATCCACACCGTTATCAGTAACCCGGTCCCTGAGAACTATCGCACGCCTTGCCCATGGGTCCCTTAAATGGACACCAGTTGCCAGATTTACCGTCGTCACTGAGATACTCTGCGGCTTGTTGCGGGATGTTGTCCCTGAAGTACGAAGTGATTCCGTCAATGGTGATGTTGGCCGAGTCTGACATGCATTGACACGGCTGGATCTGGGCAGGCCAGGCGAGTCCGTACTGAGATTGAAAGAGGCTGTTCGGCACTGACGCTAGATTATTCTGCACGCAAACGGGAAGGTTGTACATGCCAGCAGTCCATTGCTGCACATCCATAATGGCTCCCGCGGTATTCTCATTGAGGACAGTTTCCCCATTGGGGTTGGAGATCTGCGAAACCCAGGCGTCTGTCGCGTTGTAACTTGGTCGGTCGAGTCAGTTAAATTGCTACATCTTGATGAGAGAGTGTCTGCCACTCACTTGAAGCCATGGGCGAGAAACCCATTCACAGATGACTCTATCATGTAGACTGGATTGTAAGTGATATCATTGACGCTGAAGTTTTTGACGAAGAAAGACTGCGGCTGACTATTGACCTGAGCGCCGGAAAATGCACTACATAATGTATGAGTATAGGGGTCGAACGCCGTCCGCTGCTGGCACTCACCTGTATAACACGGCCATACCATTGTCCATGCATGAAGCCACCACGCTGTCATTCCAACTGGTAGAAAAGTCATGGCGCCCTTTCTCGATCCAATCCTTTTGACAGATGTCCTGTGTGAAATCGCCCCACGAGTTCGAGCAATCGAGTTGTTGGACCTGGCCATAGGGTATCTTCCGTTGATATGAGCAAGCTATTCTGCGGGTAAGGACAACCTCTCAACTCACATAAACAATATAGGCGTAATTTGCCTTGTAGTAGCTATTGATTAAAGCTGAAATGAACTGATTTTCGAAATATTCTGTAGCTTGCAACGGTGGGCCATTTCTGTTGGTGGCATTGGTCTCCGCCAGGCTTGTCTGTGCTGTGAGAAAACTGCCACCCTTCATGAATTCTGTAACATTGGCTCCGCCTAGCCAGACCGCATTGCTTAAGTTGTAGATCGAGTCAGAGATCGTCGTCACCAATGACTCGCCGATCGCGCTATCCGTCCAGATTCTGAAAGATCTTAGCTCTGGAGGCGTAAGTGGTTCACATCAAGAACACCTACTGTTCCAATTGGAAATCCGTTTGCACTTCTGCGGCCGTCAGTGCACCGGCATCGCCACCGAAACCGAACGCAGCAGCCGTCCCTATCAATGCGGCCACAAAAAACTATACAATATTATTGGCCTCGGACCTTTCCGTCAACTATCGGACACACTTACTGGCAGTTCTAGAGCAATAAAGATAACAGCGATCAGAGTCAGAATAGTATTCTGTCCAACGTGAGAAATGTTTGACACTTTGCGTTTCAGAGCCAAACTTACCACAAGGGGAAATGCCTTGTACCATGTCTCTGAAACACCGCTCGGTATATTGACAAAGATCTGTTGACGAGAGGTTAAGTTAAGCATTCTAGGGGAATAGATCTACTCACGGAACCCAAGCCTTCATATATACGTTCCATGTCGGCGTTTGCCCATTGGAGTGCGGTGTATATGTTGTTGAGGAGGGCCATGAAATCTCAATACTAATTAGTAAATTGGGTTTGATGGGGTGATTGGATACTTACTCCTCATAGCATACATAGTAAGGTATGCTGGCACTTGATAAGGTGTAAGATCAGGCCGACCAGACGTGGCGAGATTGCGGCAAGACCCAATCCAATTACAATCATTTATCGGGGTATCTGTAACATTGCACTGATCGTATACCGAACCCTCGCCATCAGTAAAATCGTTATAGAATGTGTCCATGAATGACCCTGGCGAACCAAAAGCACCATTGGTATAATTCGTGTAGTAAGATGACAAGAAATGATCAACACTCCAAGCCTCCCATTGTGATGTGTCAAAGGCGGGATCGGAGTTACTGCCGCACTCCATTGCGACTGGTAAGTGGCAGGGAAGTAAGGCTGTGATGGTAAGTGTAAAGTCTGCAGAACCTCCTGAGGACGCTGCGAGACCCGTCATCATCCCGCCAGCTGTTGCAATGTTAGTATTTTCTTGCCATACTAGATACACACAACTTACGCCAGCTTCCATCGGTTGGAACGGTGAAGGTGTATGACATGGCGCCATATTGGATCACAGGATTAGCTGCAGTAACGTATGGTCCATTACCGTTCTCAACGACCCATTTCGAAATGTTTTGCCCATCATCGCCCCAGTCCAACAGCTCTATTCCAGAAGTGACGGCAAAAGTCCAGTTCTGGCCTAAGTTCCCCATGCCATAGGAGCCGGGGTCGATATCAAAGGAGCCCGTGGGCATGAGCAATGCTGATGAATAGGTGACGGTGCTCGCCGTGCAGATGGATGGCATGGGTGGCGACACGGTGAAAGGGCCATCATCGCTAACGACTGTGGATGCCAGCAGTAAGAAATGTAGCAGGCATTTCAGGCCTGACGAGTGGGATTTGCTGCCACTCATCTTGGGTAGAGACTGGAGTGCGAGGGGGCGGCAAAGGATGAAAGAGAAAAGGAGGAAGGCAAAGGACTTCGGGTTTGCTCGAAATTGCTATGGGATAATGAAGTCGGCAAGGATGAATGAATGGTAAGGTAAGAAGGGTGTGGGGTAAGATTGAATCTTGTAGATACGACAAATGTACAGTAGGTAGATTTGAAGACTACCTTACCGTATTTCCCCAGATCTACCTTTACCTTGGAGAAATGCGGCGGCGTAGAAAAGGCCGGCAAGACAAGGAGATGAGAAGAAGGGTAGAAGAATTCAAACATTGCAACTGCTTACATCACCTATGACTTTCCCTACTTTAAAAGCTGAATTAGCTGTCTCAGCGTGCTTACGCTAAATATTGAATAACACTAACGGCGATCTAGAGGCCCGAAAGTTCTTCTTAGCGTAAGACAGTAAAATTAAAAGACAGTGTATGCAGAACTTGAAAACTCCTAGTCTGAAAGTCCCTAATAGACGTTGCACGGTACGAGAAAGCCTACCTCTGCTCTGTCAATCAGGACCAACATGGCACTTGCAAGTCAGGACCCACAAGACAATAATACAAAACTGCCGCCCAATTACCCGGACATACACCGGGTCTCTTGTGAAAATTTACACAGAGCTTTACTGAAGGGCTCGAATTTTTTTCTCGATCTAGAGTGTGATCAATCACAAGCTGACAACCAACAATCATCCATCCTTTTCTCCCCACGTACTTACTTTACAGTTGACGATTGCCATCGTTCAACTTTCGTCATCGCCAACATATAGTCATGAGGCTAGTCTTTCATCAGGCCCTCATCTCGGGTAGTGATTTCGGATCTGAGAGCAATCCACTCTGACCTTTCGACTCTCCCTAGCAGTGTCTTCAAATTCCAAGTTGCACTTTTCGATCCGTGCTCCCACATTGTTATGGATGTTGGCTTCAATGCTGTCCATTGACCCTCCCCTACTGTTCATAAGGCATCGGAAAGGGTCGACCATCACATAACCCAGTCATCTCGGTAACCACTCTGGCTACAGATCCGACGCGGCACAGTATAAAGCCTGGTTCCAGGGATTCATCTTGGGACCGCTGCATTGAGTGCAGAGTTGTCTTCAAAGCGCTGTACAGAATACTCTCCCTGGGTGTTGGCCGTAGACACAGCATCAGGTCCGAGAGGCAGACGAGTATGAAGAACAAGTGTAGGTGCGGAAATGTTTCTACCCGGCGAAAAAGCAAGTTAGAGCGGTTGCACGCAGTCTGAGGATCCATTTCTTCAAGTGGTAGATGCAACTTGCTTAGTCACTTGACTCAACCGAAATAGATGTCGGCTCAACTCAGGTATCAGTGAGCATCACGCATCTACTTTGCGAGTCTCCCGAGAAGTCCCAAGCCTGTGACTGGGCTCGAGCCGGTTTGGCCACGGTAAGTGTCGGGAGAGACTGTAATCATGCTCAAGATTGGTAAGATTTCTTTCATCATCATCTTCCACCCGGTCTCATTCACATGAGAGTTGTGCAGAACTGTAAGTACTTGAGGCTGCAAAATCTAAATTTGGGAAATCTCTTTCAGTAAAACAATCCCTTTATGAGGTCCTCATCCAATACCATGGTCCTTAACAAATGATATTTCCTGTCTTCTTTTCACACATCGGAATTTCCGAAGGTGTGAGTCATCTCTCTGGTTCAACTATTCTTCCATCAAATACTCTTATAAAATACATGCAACTGCAGACTCGAACTGAATACTACGTTGATAGATCAGCATGACCAACTACATCGTTGTCTTCACCGTTCCGAACAACATCGTAGGCACTCCGCCCGCCGTAGGTTCCTAACTTGTGCGAGCTGACTGTCACAGTCAGAACCCGTGATCTGGGGCATGCTTACCTGCTTTGTCACCGGATGCGCTTCGTGCGTGAGCGGCAGCATATTTGATCCCTTCGATTCAAACACATTGGTATCGCCGAAGCCTGAGCTGATGGGTATGACCAAGGACGGCCCCGATGGCATACAAAAGATCTGGCTCTGGTCTCGAAAGTCACCCGTACCAAAACGACACGCGAAGGAGAGGGTGGATCCGAGAAGACATTTGCAATCACACGGGGACTACATGGCAGCGGATATCAAGTAGACACGTGTCCAAAGGGCAACCAGCCTTGGACGATCTACAAAGGGTTGGCGGAGCTGAATAAAGATTGTGAAGGGCATAGAGCAAACATGACGGAGATGTACGGCAAGTGAGACCGCGGAGGGATGCGATTGTGACAGTTCTGCCCACTCGGCGAATCGACCCCACTTGGAAGTGAACCACGGGCCATGGGAAAAGCTTGGTAGCCTAAATGGATTCCATGAAATATCTGCTCTCTCAAACCACGACCAAAACTCAGCACCTTCACCAATGCTTCCAAAAAGCACAAAGCCGCACACCGAAGATACCCTATATATTGTTGCCGCGCTTGCGAAGGGTAAACCACCGACACAGTGATGACCAGAAGCGCTAAAATCCCAACCTCACTGACCACAGCCCGCACATTTTAGTCCCGAATCCCCATGGCCCAACGCCGGCTGGGTATTTCTCCTTTCGCTAGACCTTTCACCCAATCCTCTTCTACAGCACAAAACTCAACCCATAAGCCCACAACAGAAGAAACTCCACGTTGACGACCTGTCGAAACGTCCCCTTCCCATCGAAAAAGCCCGGACCCTGTACGAGAAGCCGGGATCGCGATCGAACCGCATCACCGCGGACATCGGGGGCGAGTGCGAGAAAGAAAATGGCCGAAAGGAGTGGGACCGTGCTCGATTCTACCGCCGTTGGAGGCGATGGAGCGGAGATATCGGGCAAAGGGGGTCGCTTCGGCGGGATCCCTGGACGGTGATCTGAGGGTGCTGGAAGACTGTGATGGTCGGAGGAGACATGGGTTGTGGCAACTGAAGGCCACGAGCGAAGATGATTGTCAGGGGGGGGTGCTTGAAACGGTGTCGTATCATGGATAAACTGGAGGAGACGCATAAAGGGACGGCTAGGTGGTGGTGGCGGCTGAGAACGTTGAAATGCGCCTACACAACTCGACTCTAGATACATTTCGTGCAGCAAGTCCGGGTAGGCGAGACTGCTTAGCCAATCCCACTTAATCCATTGAAAAGGAGTCAATGTAAAAAAGTTGCATTGCCGTCCTACGAAATGAACCTGCTCTGTAGGACTACAATGCATGTCTACACCACGAGCCGAAGACTCCGAACGGAGCGAAACAACCACCACCACCGCCGGCCCTGTCCACATATAGACAACGCCAACGAGACAACAGTCATCCATCCACACATACCTCCCCAGGCAGTGCGGGCTCAAGAACACGCCTTCTTCGCCAAATAAACAAACAAACAAAAACAGACACACACATAGAACCGGGCCAAACCGGCGCCATAAAAATTGAAAAATGACTCACAGCCCGCTTTCCCTCCTCACCACCCAATCCTCACGGTCCGCGCACGCCACCGATGCGCATCACAGGCCGTGCCCATGTGTGCCGCCGCTCTCGCCGTTTCCCCCACGCTGATCGCGCAGCCATCGCTGTCGTGATCGACGGCCCCATTACATAGCCGTCGGTTGTCGTTGGGATGAGTGGAAAGGGGGGTTCGGATGGGATATCTAGGGAGGGGGATGAGAGCGAGAAGAAGGCGGCGAACGAGAGGGCCGGAGTGGAGAACGGAGCGCGGGAGAGGGTCTCGGGGGAGGGTCGTAGGGGGTGGCGAAGCTGGGAGACGGGGTGAATATAGTCGGTTTGGCTTTGACCTCTCCGTCTGGTCGTACTTTTTTACTAGCATAGGTTCGGTTGAAACAGGCCGTGGTTTGGTGTCATGGCAGAAATCCACTTGTCGAGTGTTGCAGGCTGTTCAACTTCCTCACGAGATATGCAAGCAAGGCTGGTCATTGTCCCGGGTACTCAAACTTCCATTTTTACGAATTGAATTTCTTTTGATGTTGTCGAGAGGCACATCTTCGAAGATACAACTTCAAGCCCCAGTGACCGAGCTATGCGATTTCCATTCCTATTCGGCATCTCGGCCATCCTCATCTCACATATTGCGAGCGTGGACCTAGCCCCACCGAAGCCTGGTCTCGAAGAGAAAGCGCCGTTATGACACGTGGCAGACTTTCATCCCAATCCAAGTCGCAGCTGTTGGACTACAACAGCTCTACCCCATCCTTACTTTAAGCGCCTTCACCAGCCAAAATGGCTCGCTGGCCCCTTCCAACGCGGTAGTTCTCCGCTAGGGTCGCTGAACCTGACGATGTGGTCTAACAAAAAGTTTCTTGAGCATTAGCGCAGGCGTTTGCGGCTAGGATGTGGGCGGTGACAGTCATTGGGTTTACTTCAGGGTACTTTTTGACGTTTGTGTGTCCGAGCGGAACGGTATCGTTGCAAGTGAGAGGCATGGCGATGAGAGAGGTTGACGGGAAATCGGTCATGGGGAGTCCGGCCCCGGGCTCGAGACCAGAACGCTGGCCGAAAGCTTCGTCTTCAAGGAGGCATTCGGACTTGAATGTAATATAATGATGCAAGAGTCGTCTTCGAGCGGTAACAACCAAGGACGTAGTGGTCAACGTCTGCGAAAGCTGTGCCCACGTTGGCTTACGAGAGCGAGTAAAGGCCGGAATAGTTTGACAACGATTTTGATTCAATGTGGACGCTTCGGAGGAGGTCCGTTCTCTTCAGTAGTCTTTGGAGACGTCGTCGAGCTTGCTGTCCAAATCGAGCTGATCTGGTTCCGAACCCATTCCCGAGTCTTAATCCGTGTCAGCGTAGTCCTACACCACATGGTCCACGCAAAGCGTATGACTTACTCCTTCAAAAGGCTTCACGTCTCTACCTGCCATCTCTCCCCAATCCATGAAAAGAACCCCGTATACCAGGATAACTACACGAGCAGTGAGCGACGAGAAGATGCGAACATGCCGTAAGCGCACTCACAGAATGAGCTCCCAGAGGCAGCAAGCTTTACAGCCTTGGTCCACCGAGGCCGCGAATATCGTAGCTTGGCACGTCGTCTATACCTGCGTTCTAGACGAAATTGGTATTTGGGGTGGAGCTTTGTGAAGTCGGGCGGCCATTCTTTCTGGGCTTTGTACGGATTATTGTGAATGGTATGCTGCGGAGCTTCAGCCAGTCGTCTCATCGTTGATCTGAACATTCTAGCCCGAAGACAAGCCTTTGGAACGAAAACACGCTGAAGACATATGAGTAGGTGCAGCGCGCGATGGCCGCTGAATGGCGGCCTTGTCTTGGCACCCCGGACTGCGCTAGCAGGGATCAAATGTCAGACAGAAGAGCCGCAACCATTTTGTATTGACTCACACAACACTTGATATTCATGGTGACGTAGCATAGAAACGCGCATGTTTCGTGGGCTGCAGTCCATCAGATCGCAGGTTATACCTGTCAACACTGTATCACAATCAGGTGTCTCGCATGGTTCGCGGGCCTCAAAACTACAATTCTTCCGGACGAATACAACTATGGCAGCTGCGAATGGCGCCGCTGGCGCGACCGCGAAGACTTTGAAATTGGAAAATGCAAGAGGCCTGCTCCATCTGAAGGATCGCCGCTGACACGATTTTTACAGACCGAGAAGAGAGACACCCTAATTAAAATCGAAAAAAGATACCAAAAGAAATGGCGAGAAAGCAAAGTTTTCGACTCCAACGCTCCTACAACCTCCGAGATACCCATGGGCTCGATCCTTCCAGCCGAGTTGCGGAAGAAGCACCCCAAGTACTTCGCCATTTTCGCATACCCGTACACGAATGGCCTTCTACATGCCGGGCACAGCTTCACCATCAGCAAGGTCGAATTCACGGCTGGCTTCGCGAGAATGGAGGGGAAGCGAGTCTTATTTCCTTTAGGGTTTCACTTAACCGGCATGCCCATCAAAGCATGTGCAGACAAATTGGCAGAAGACGTTCGGAATTTTGGACAGAACTTTGAGAATTATGAAGAGGAGGATGCAGACCAGACGGTGACGGCGCCAGCGCCAACGCAGGCAGAGACTAAAGAAGACATCACAAAGTTTACTTCGAAGAAGGGAAAGGCCGCAGCGAAGACAGTTAAGATGAAGTACCAATTTCAGATCATGCTTGCGTTAGGAATACCAAAAGAAGAGATACACAGATTCGCCGACGCACATTACTGGCTGCAATACTTCCCACCATTGTTGAAACAGGATCTGAACAACTTTGGGGCTCGGATAGATTGGAGACGATCAATGGTCACGACTGATGCTAATCCATACTATGATGCTTTTGTACGATGGCAGATGAACCGTTTACACGAGCTGAAAAAGATACAGTATGGTATTCGTTATACAATCTATTCGCCAAAAGATGGACAGCCGTGTATGGATCATGACAGGGCAGAGGGTGAAGGTGTAGCTCCACAGGATTACACTGCTCTCAAGTTGAAAGTTAAGGAATGGGCGCCGAAAGCTGCAGAGAAAATAAAGGGCAAGCTCCCAGATGGAGCGCATGTGTACTTCGTCCCTGCAACTCTTCGGCCTGAAACGATGTATGGACAGACTTGCTGCTTTGTGGGACCTAAAATCGTCTATGGCGTGTTCAAAGTGTCAGACAACGAATACTACGTAGTTACTAAACGGGCTGCTTGGAATATGGCATTTCAAGGAACCTTCTTTAAGAGTGACAAGTTCGCACGAGATGCTGGCGAGCTTCATCCTGTTCTCGAGCTGACCGGCGCGGAGGTAGTTGGTACCCTTGTCAACGCGCCATTGTCGATACATAAGCAAGGTGTGCGGATCTTGCCTATGGAATCCGTTCTTCCGTCCAAAGGCACCGGTGTTGTGACTTCTGTTCCTTCTGACAGCCCTGATGACTACGCTACGGTCACTGATCTGGCGAAGAAAGCCGAATACTACGGCATAGAGAAGGAGTGGGCTCAGCTCGAGATACCACCCATCATTCAGACACCGTCGTATGGGAATATCACTGCTAAATTTCTCGTGGAAAAGATGAAGATCAACTCGCCAAAGGATGCAAAGCAGCTTGCAGAAGCGAAAGATCTGGCCTATAAGGAAGGGTACTACAAGGGTAGAATGCTAATTGGGGACTTCAAAGGCGAATCCGTCGAGGCAGCGAAGCCTAAAGTTAGAGCGGCCCTGATTGAGAGTGGTGAAGCTTTCGAGTATGCAGAGCCAAACGGTCATGTCGTTAGTCGTAGTGGTGATGAATGCGTCACTGCATATCTTGGTCAATGGTTTCTGAACTACGGAGAGAACGATCCTCAATGGCGAGATACTGTCCTCGACCATGTAAAGAACGACATGGAGACTTACAGCTCAGAGACACAGAATGGGTTCGAAAAGAACCTTGAATGGCTCAATCGGTGGGCATGCGCTAGAACATATGGACTTGGGTCAAAGCTTCCTTGGGATCCCAAGTTCCTTGTGGAGAGCTTGAGCGACAGTACGATCTACATGGCCTACTACACTATCTCGCATCTGCTACATGGCGACATCTTTGGCAAAACACCTGGAAAGCTGGACATTAAACCACACCAAATGATCGACGAAGTCTGGGACTATATATTCTGCCGGCGGGAACTCAGCGAGGAGCTCTTGAAAGACTGCGGCATCAAGAAAGCAGATCTGGAGACCATGCGAAGAGAATTCGAATATTGGTATCCTCTGGATATGAACAGCTCTGGCAAGGACCTAATTCCCAACCATCTCACCTTCTTCCTCTACATCCACATCGCGCTCTTTCCCAAGGAGTTCTGGCCGCGAAGCGTACGAGCAAATGGCCACTTGCTACTCAATGGCGATAAGATGAGTAAGAGCACAGGCAATTTCATGACTTTGAATGACGCAGTGGAAAAGTACGGCGCAGATGCATGTCGGATAGCTCTAGCAGATGCCGGGGACGGAGTCGAAGACGCAAACTTCGAGGAGGCAGTCGCTAATCAAATCATCCTGCGAATGTATACCTTGAAAGAATGGTGTGAAGAGGTTGTCAACGACAAGAGTCTCCGAACAGGCGAAGCCAACGAACTCTGGGACCAGCTCTTCGACAACGAGATGAACACTCTCGTCCATGAAGCCCGACAGCACTACGAAGCGTAAGCATCCGCCACCTCAACCATCCCTTTCCAAACCATACTAACAAGTCCCCAAACAGAACCGACTACAAAGTCGCCCTCAAATCTTCTCTCTACGACTTCACCTCAGCCCGCGACTTCTACCGCGAAGCCACCACCGCCGCCTCCCTCCCCATGCACTCATCCCTCATCCACAAATACATCACCCTGCAAGCCCTCCTAATTACCCCCATCGCCCCTCACTGGGCCGACTATATCTGGTCCGAAGTCCTCAAAAACTCCGCCCCAAGCACGATTCAAAACGCCCTCTGGCCCGACATTCCCACCCCCAATCCTTCGTTGACGGCGGCGAGAGAGTATGTAAGGGCTACGAGCAGCGCGATTACGAGTGCGGAGGCGGCGCAGCAGAAGCGGAAGGAGAAAGGGAAAGTCATCTCTTTTGACCCTAAATTACCCAAAAAACTTACCATTTTCTACGCGGCGAGTTACCCGGCCTGGCAAGACGCATATCTCGGAATCGTCCGCGAGTCCTTCAACGGCATGAGCTTCGATGAGAAGAACCTGAACACCAAAGTACAAGCCAAGGGCAAAGCGGAAATGAAACGCGCTATGCCGTTCGTGCAACATCTCAAAAAGCGCTTGATGGGTGGGGAGAGCCAGGAGGTGGTGTTTGATCGGAAACTGGTGTTTGAAGAGGGCGAGGTGCTGGAGAAGATGGTTAGGGGATTGAGCCGGACGACGGGGTGTAGGGTCATTGACGTTGTGAAGGTGGAGGGAGAGGAGGGGGAGAAAGTCGGGGTGACTACGGTCGGAGAGGGGGATGGAGGGAGGAGAGAACAGTTGCCGTCAGTTGCGGGACAGGCGACGCCAGGGAGTCCGAGTTTTCATTTTGAGAACATTGAGGGATGAGCCCGATTTGACGCAGTCGCAAGGATGGGTGCTTACCCTTTTGCCAAGGATGGTAAGGTCAACATTCGCCTTCATTGTAGCTAGCATATGATGGTCCATAGACAGATGAAAGCTTTTGCTCGGGACGAATTCCACATTGCTCAGCCATTTGTGGCCTGTCTGGGTATACATGCTCGCTAATGAAACAGATAACTGACCCGTAGGTCCTGTACGCCAGGGGTATGCAGCCGCTCACACAGTAACACTTTGAAGTCAATTGCAAATATATAATCGCGAAGCAAACAGGACAGGAAGCGAAGATGTGCAACAAGCTGTAGGTTAGTGGCCAAGGCTAAGACTCGATGGCTTTCCGCAAATCTGTCCACTTTTGCTTCAGGCTGTCATATTCGCCGTTAATCTAAAGGTCCGGTCAGTGAAAGTACCCTTCCATTGTAATTATTTGGTAGCATACCTCAGCAAACTGCATCTTCGTCTCCACCAATGTCTTCTCCATATCTGCAATCTGCTCCTCCAATGCTCGGTTCTCGTTCTGCACCTCTATATTCCTCTTCATGATTCGATCCATCTCCTCCTTCAGCCTCTGCTCAACCTCCTCAGGCTGTTTCTCGACCATACTCCTCAGCTCGTCTGTCTGACCCCTCAAGCTCTCGACGCTATCGTACAACTCCTGGTTTTCAACTTTCGTACGAACCAACTCCGAAGCCATTTGCACATGTTCGGTGTCCGACTTTTCTGTTCTCTCTTCAAGCGAGCGGACTTTGAGCGCGAGCGATGCGTTCGTTGAACGAAGCGTTTCGAGTTCGGCTTCTCTTTCCTTTTCTGATCGCTGCTTCTCTTCCCATTCTGACGTATAATGTTTCAGCATCTCCGGGGTAATTCTGACTGCGCAGGCATCTTGGACGAGAATATCGGCGCGGTAGATCTCTTTGTCAATCCCACCACCTGAGCTGCCGAAGAAACCTGACTCAAGTAACGAGTTTGCGGACGGTGCCTGGTCTATGTAGACATCGAAAAGGCGGTCTTTCAAGAAATTTGTTAGACTGGACATATCATTCATGCCAAGTAAGTTGTCGGCGTTCTTTTGCATCAAAGCTATACCGAACTTCAGGATGGCACCTTCAAGACCTTCACTAAGGATAAGATCATATACACGGAGGACTAGCTGGAGAGGAAAGCGGTAGGCGAACAAAGTGAGAAACCATTGCGTTGCATACAATTGTGGGGCAACGCCTTTTCGATGGAGGTGGCAGTACAGCGCTGGCTCCATATCTTCGAGTAACCTCTCGAATTGGTAAAGATGCAAATGGAGGCCAGGCATATCCTGTATGAACATGTCGCGAAGATGATACTGATTCATCAGCCGAACGAGAAGGCAGAAAGCCTCTTCCTCGGGCATCTAGAAAGCGTTAGTCTACGCTGCCTTGCTCTTCGTAGAGGAGCTTACATTGAAAAGCAGCGGCATTATCAAAAAGTTCATGCCTTGAGCGTAGCCGACGCCTTCATCAAACAAGGCATATGCTTTGCAAACTCCGAATAGACCCTCCTGAAGCCCAGCAGCCACAGCATACTTCGAATAACTTGTTCGGGCCCCCAGATCTTTTCTGATGACCTTCTCCAACTTCTGCAAAGCAGCAGCATCCTCCTTTGCTTTTTTCTTCCGTTCGGCCATCATCGCTGCCTGAAGCTGTTTCATGCTTTCTGCATCTTTTCCTAGCTGCGAATGAGATGGCGATGTCAAGCCATTGGTCGCTGTAGTTGCCGGTGTGGATTGACCAGAGTGCATCGACGATGCTGAAGAGGCTATTGAGTGCTTTTCCTTAGCGCTTCCGTTCATTGGGAGATTTGTCAGTGCATGACCGTTTGCTGCAGCCATGTGGTCGCGGTCTTTGTCTGTACCCCGTACGACCAACTCTCGGTACACGCCTTCCAGTTCATCGTTCTTACTCTGGGCCAATACCTGCCAAACGACACCTCTTATCGCACTGGGAATGCCACTTGCTATAGCCATGCTGAGTTCCTCCGCGCTGGTCCTTGCAACTGCTGATGGCCCTTCATACACGACCGATTGCCATAAGTCCCAGTCAACAGCAGCCGCAGGATCAGTCATAGCTGAAGGGCCAGCTGACACGCCGGAGGCTGTTCCAGGAGCAAGATTAGGATTGGTTGTCGATGTTGTTGGATTAGCGGGGGGAACAGTCGAGACCGGTGATTGTAGAGGACTGGCAGTACCAGCAAGGCCACCTTCCTTCTCGTCTACGACACTTGTTGGGCTTCCAATGCCGAGGCCAACGCTTGCACCTCGCCCAATTAGCGCTGCAAGAGCTCCTCCGCTGGCTGTTGGCGACCCAACATCCTGTCCCTCGAGGGACTGTATGCCCGCCTCTTCTCTCATCCGGAGCATCTTGAACCGGTCTCTTAAACTATTTCTTTGCCGTTTTGCACCGGTCGAGTTGTCGGATTCTTGGCCTTCATCCAGCTTGCTCAGCATGAGCTCCGGATTCGAGCCGATCGAGGCTATAGAAGTGACAGTGTTCCGCCGGTCACGAGGAGTTGGCACTTGGCTGGGAGACGGGACAGCATCTTTAGTTCCGGAAGTACTCCTCGACAGCCAGGAAAAACTCATGCCCAATTTCCTCGGGGGTGGAGCTGTAAAAGGTATAGAGACTGTTGGTTTCGAGGCGGGAGGCGGGCCCCAAGGTATCGATGGAAGGTTTCCAGACAGACCTTGTGATCGAATCGGGAGCTTTGGAGGGGAGGTAGCCATGCTTTTTTCGGTCGTTGCAGTAGCCGTAGAGTCTGATCGTATTGAATTGGTGTCGTTCGTTCCGTCAAGTTGCACATTGTTGAGGGAAGAAGCCGAAATACGGTGCGCAGTGAGCAAGGGAGATTTGGTTGGAGTGTCTTCATTGTCTGGCTTACGAGCCTCTTGTTTATGTACCGATGTTTCTTCTGAGGATTGTACGTTGGACCCGCGTGGTGTAGAGGGAGATGAGGGTGGTCGAAGATTGGTCAGAGAGCGTGAAGATGCAGATGACGGATGAGACTGGGGCCGATCAGTGTTATCTTGCGCATCCTCGAAAGTATCCTATCACGATCTTAGCTGGGGCTGCTTCCCCGGCCAAAGCGAAATTATTACTTACCCCTTCCCTATCTGAGCTATCAGCACTCGAAGGAATGGGGCCATTATGAGCCATTGTGGTGACGTGTCTAGGCTATAGCCAGGGCAATGCAATCCAAAGAGGTTTTGATAGGCTATGCAATTGGGCGTTGCTGCTCGGTCGTGCCTGCACGAGGAAAGGAAAATTGTAAGGAAGCGACAGACCAGTCGTGATAAGGAGTTGAACCGGAGGGAATTGAAGCATAAGAGGTGTGTCTTTATGGTGGCAATTACCCGTATATTTGCATGCACTATGAGGAGGCAATTATTGGATGTTAAAGCTGATGTTAAAGCTGGTGTGAAAGCCCGTGAACTGCAAGACAGACCTTGACTCGATTGTATTCTCCACATCCCTTTTAGGACAAGGCTCGGCGACCGACCTGAAAATCTGAGCAGGGATCTTGATAGACGCAGGCGCGTTATTAATAGATATCTCACTCCGAGTTCACTCCCATTACTCCTACGTTCAATCCAGTCTCGATCAATACAAGGGATGTCTATTGCTGTCTGATAAGCGAACAAAGGGTGATGCAAAGTCCATATAGCGAGGAACTCCCAGGGTTGCAGCCCTTCCAAGCATCCGCGTGTGCCTCTGACACGGGACTCGCATGCGACTATGCTAGGTCTATTCTCCCATCACAGGTTGCACTCCTCGGCTTGCACCCTTCCAAATGCGCCGGACAGTGCTGTCGAATCCCCGAGCTGAAGCCTTTGAAGACTTTCGATTTTAATATTGCTAGGAGCACCGCGGGTCGACAGCGACTTTGTGAGAATCTGGAGCGAACATCCTCCCTTCCGGCCCCATTTAGGATGTGTGGCCTCGCAAATCCCCCCAGATCGTCCCCCATCTCCGTCTAGTTGGCCAGCGACCTCTTCTGCATCATCTCAAAGCAAGAGTGGGCACCTCTGTGATTCCAACCCCGTGCTTCTTCAGTGACTTACACGGGCGACAATGTCTCTGGTAAAGATCGCAGTATACTGGATATTTTACTCACTATAGAAACATACCAACTCCTTGATCTGGAGTTTCATGAGGCCAATTGCAGGCTTGTTAAAAGGTATATCTATGACTTCGTCTTCGGTGACCATTACGACGGAAGTCATGGAGCAGAAAGAAGTACGAGTGTCTCGCTCACTGAAGGACCGGAAAGTCTTCTAGCCTGGCCATTCCTCATAGCTTAAATGGGTAGTGAAGCTGAGGAATTTTGGAAGGACCGAAAACCTACTATTCTTCGGCTGTCTGCAGCTGGCCACTGCCCTAGCCCAGCATCGAACTTACTGCTAGGTTTTGATTGAAGAGACGGCATGGAGGACGCGAATTAGGGTGACAGCTTGCATGCCTTGATCCGATGAAAAAACAATGCAGACATGACATCCACCCATGTTTAGATCTATGTCATGAGCCTAGGCTTCAGACTCGAAGTTTCAGGAACCTTCGTCACTGGTACCTAGGCGGGAATCCTTCAATGGGGATGGGAACAGGCGGTACCTTGTCCGTAAGAGGATATTAGAAGAGGATATTAGGAATCTTGCCATGACAGGAACACCTAAACCTTGCTCATGCTTTAAGAGGACGTTACAGTAGGAGAGGCTTGACTGGAAGAATTTGTTTCTGATCAAAATGAGATCCTAACCAAATCACAGGAATCTATTGACAGTTAATGCAGGTATTGGTCGTCCTCCCCCGTTTGTCGACCAAATGACTTGCTAGTCGGTGATGTTGTAGGATCAGCTAACAACTTTCCTGTTGGCCGAGACTCAATGAAGGAGATACCATTGGTCCATCGCATAGGGTAAGGTATGTAACAAGGATCGAAGTCTGCATATAAATCAACACCCAAACTTCGCACCGCGGCGTTTAGCTCACCTCCCATACCCATCAGTTCTCACACGGCCGATGTGTTCCAGTCGCTCACGCTTCCTCCAAATCAGAGCAAGCAACCTTCAAAATAATTGATGCTTCCCTCCTCTTTCTAATCAATGCAGGCTTCTTCGCTCATATCTTACATTGAATTCATGGCCACCTCAAAAGCTGTCTTCCGTGATGCAGTCGAGCGCATCAATTAGCGACCTCCCCAAGTATTCCTCCATCTTTTCGGTTTCTTCCCGCGAATACTTCTCATTCGCAGCTTCTATGCTCTCTTTGGTTGGCAGCTCCCAGATGGCATCGAACGGCAGGAAGGGCTGGATGGCCTTGAGCTTGTACTGGACAGTATCGTTTCCAGGAACTCTTGGAAGCCCAGGGAAACGACGGAAACCAGAGGTGTTTCGCTCATCGCCCTCCTCCTTCATCTCCTCGACACATGGCCATAGCGGGTCGGGGCGCTGAGCAGGAGGTTCATAAGTGCGCACCCAGACAGATGGAAACATAAGTATGGCACAGAAGTTCTTGTGCTCGAACGATTTCCCTCCAAAGGCAGGCCCAATCTTGACGAGACGACTGGGAGGCGGCAGACGAGGATCTCGTGGTGATTGAACCAGCGCCTTCAATTTTTGCTGCTCTCGTGTCTTTTTGGCGTCTGCGCGGCCTCTTTGGTGCGCCAGCCAATCCTTCAGTGTCTTGGGTACGACATATGACCTTAACAGGTTCATCCTCCCCAGGCTTTCTTCCACTCGCTTCCATCTTTCTTTCTCAACTATCAGTTTACTGCTCCACACCCTGGAATTGGTATGGGAAGCTTCTGTGGGCTGCACCACAGTGTGGTTGTTTCGACTTGCTGGTGCCTGTGGGCCTGAGAACTTCGATTGGAAAGGTCTCGCTGCAGGATTCAACATTTCTCCCCTCCACGATGCTGGACTTTGTGAACCTTGGAGGCCGGGATTGGATGGCCTCGCTGCAGGAACTAAAGAGTCAGTGGTGCGACGGGCGTCGGCTTGTAGATCCGGAATCTCGGAATGGGTCGCCATCTGCGGTGCACTCCGAAAGTTGTCACTGCCTATGGATGTGTCTGGAATGCGCAGTGTTAACCGCGGACGGGAGTTTTCTTGGACTCTCTCCACTGCAACCTGTCAGATTCAACATCTTGTTGCGGACTTGATGGATGCTTACCTGGACTAACGGACGGCTCCGTCTTGCTCCAAGGCGAGGCCGGGGCTTGTTTTCGAGCGGAGTTCCACACGTTGAAGGCTGGAGCTCTTGCGTTCCAACGGGAAGTCGAGACCTGGCTTGGGCCCTTGGGGACAGAATCGAAGAATGGGTCTCTCGTGCTCAAACGTGAGGTTGAGGGCTTGCTTTGATTAGTAGGCAATGAGCCGGGAATCCTAGTGCTTGCATCCCTTTGGGCGGTTGGCAGCTGCGGGTCATCGACGAACGAGTCCAGGAACAGGTCCCGTGTTCTTTGGCCAGTGGCAGTTGGGTCGAAGAACGCGTCTCCTGTGTTCTGATTCGACAGCTGGCTTTGGTCACCAGCGAGGGAGGTCAAGGCTGTGTCCCTTGTATTCGGACGCGACGTCGAGGACTGGCTTGGTCCAGCAGGAGTAGAAGCGAACCAAGAGTCTACTTTGTCTGTAGGTGACATAGCCTGAGTTAATGCGCTGATGAAGGTCGAGTCAGGGTATTTGTATGCATTTATTCTAGGCAACGCCGTCTGGGTCACTGTGTTGACGAAGAAGGTGTCAGGGGATCTGTTTGTACCCATCCAAGGCGACGTGAATGTAGTACCCGGCGTTGTGAGTCCTTCATCTATTAGCCATGATTTCTCCAGTGTTTACTCTGTTTACCTTCGTATGGAATTTCTCCCACCTCGCTTGCTTCCTGGAAGAAATTGCTCATTCCGGGAAATTTCGTGAAGATTTGAACGAGAGACCGTGTTTCTAATAGTGCTTTGTGATTAGACAGGAGTGTTGTAATGATTGTGTTGCTGATAACCTGTGAGATGTGGTGGATGCTAATGTGTGGAGAGAAAGAGATGGAGTCAAAGAATATATGGTGGGGATCAATGAAGGGCCGAAGATAACAGGAACGCTAGCGGCGGTTGAATAGACACTGTATTCACTGCAGAGTCGGGTAACTGGTGCTCTATGGCATTCATTGCAATCCGGAGATGGTCTCTTCACCTGCGGGGATGCTTCACCGCCAGATGGGAATGCACCGAAGAAGTCACGCGTTTCTCAGGCTCTTCTCCACACTGAGCGAGCGTATAGTATGTCACATATACTTGCATCTAATATCTATGCTTGCGTGGTTTATTCCTTACTGTGGAGGTTGTATGATGGGGCAACCAGGGAAGTCTTTAGAGGTGAAAGGCGGACGAGAGTTGAGGCAGCTTTTGGCTAACTTCCGAGGTGTCACAAAGTTAGCTTCTGCCCATTCTCAGCCTTGAAACTCGGGGCAATGTACTCAGGTGATTGAAGGGCGTGGTTGCGGGTTGTGCAAATCTGAACAGTGACCAGAGACGAGAGCAAATGTATCTATTTAATATCTAAGAAAGAACGGCGCTGTAAATCAAGAATTCTTTCATGCTTTTGATTTTCGCTCCTCTCATGAGCTCTGATCAAAAGTTGAGGATACTTCATCTCGGAGCAATGATAGGAAGTCAGGCAACTATATGTTCACATATTCCCCTACAAATTTGATGCCTTTTACAGCAAACCATTCCCAAAGCACCCGACAATTTACTTGTATCTCACAAACATGAAACGAGCGAATCAGGAGGACGCGGGATTCCACCAAACATAGGTAGGGCTAGATCAGAGAGCAATGAGAGCCTCATCTTTGCCACCACCATCTTCACACCTACATCTCCTGAAACAGCTATGCCCACCATACCCCTCCACACTTCTTCTGCCCAAACAGCGGTAACAAACACTGCCAATCCCCTTCCACAATTGCTTCAAACGCCGGGTGGGCTTGCTATTCTTGAAATCCAAGGCAGTATCAATCTTCCCACCGCCTCACCTACTTCTCAAACCATCTCCATTGGGCGCCTTGTCTTCCCAGACTACACCGCCAGCGGCTCGCCAGAACACAAATCCTGGATGAAGATAGTCCATCTCTACGTTGGCCAGCATCAGAGGCTAACAGGAGAAGTGAAGAAGTTACCCAACCCTGTGGCCGTCATCCGCAAGCGGGATAGTGGGGAAGCAACTGCTGAGGGAGAGGAACTGGAGATAGCGGAAATTGTCTATTACAAAGTCATCTTCTCCAGTCGCCCCGAGCCTGTGGGGACTTGAAGCTGCCAGAGTGACTTCATCTTGCGTCTGGGGAGGGGCCAGAGGCGCGACTATCAGGCGTGCCAATAGATCGCGCCGGCGCTGCGGCAACGTCACCTTTCGATGATTTCAACTTTGAGCAATCACATATTGGGAACTTTCCTTCTAGAAGTTCTTCATATCTCGAAAAGAAGCCAGAGGTCTTCTAGCGCAACCATGGGTGGGGGAGATAGCCTCAATTCTGTTGGCATTTTGAAGACGTTGACTACGGCTGCAGGTTGGATACTCACTGTGGTGAGCGCAACCAAACTTCTGGCCTTGCCAAAAATTGATTAATGATTGCAGTCAGTCGCTGTCATTGTTGCTCGATTGGTGCTGTCCGCCATCTACAATGTCTACTTCCATCCACTCCGCAACTTCCCAGGACCTAAATTCGCAGCAGCTACACCTTTACCCTTCGTATGGCGCCTTCTCAATGGCCGAATGGTCCACTGGAATATGATGCTGCATGCAAAGTACGGCGTGGTGGTTCGGGTGCATCCGGATGAGCTGTCTTTTATCGGGTCTTCCGCCTGGCAAGACATTTACACTGCTCGTCCACAGCTTCCCAAGCCTACATTCGGAGTGCTAGAGACACCGGGTGGCGTACCCAGTATTGGAACCATTCCAGACGCTGAGACCCATGGCCGCCAAAGGAAGATCATCAGCCACGCTTTCTCCGACCGGGCACTGCTGAGCCAAGAGTACATCTTGCAGAAGTACAGTGACCTTCTAATTGATCGACTACGAGATCAGCCTAATCTCCAGGATGGTAGTCTCGATATCTGCTCCTGGTACAACTTTGTGACATTCGACGTTCTCGGCGATCTATGTTTCGCGGAGTCCTTTCATTGTCTCGAGACTGCGGAAAATCATCCTTGGGTTGCCTCAGTCTTCATGGGGGTTAAAGCAGCCCAGCTGTTCACCGTATTTCACCACTTCCCACCTATGAGTACCATCGTTAAATTTTGTCTACCCCAATGGGTCCATGACGAAGCTCAGAAGAGTTTTACCTTTACCCGAGAACGTGTGGACAGACGCATCGCCTCCAAGTCAGATAGGCCGGACTTTATGAAACACATTCTTCACAACAATTACCCAGGAGGTTTGAGCAGAGACGATATCGATTCGACAACCACTTTGCTTGTGCTTGCGGGCAGCGAGACATCGGCTACGACTCTTACCTCAGCCACTTATTTCGCTCTGAAGAACCCCACTGTCATGCAGAGACTCGTGCGAGAGATTAGAGAAACCTTCAAAAGCCAACGAGACATCACAGTCGCAGCTGTGTCCAATCTACCCTACGTACATGCTGTCATCCAAGAAGCGCTCCGTATGCATCCAACAGGCCCAATCTCGGTCCCTCGGCAAGTGGATAGGCCTGACGTGGAAGTCTGTGGCATGCCAGTTCCGAAAGGAGTGGGTACCTGTCTGCCTGAATATCCTAAATGCTGTCTTTGCTCACTACTCTAGGTACGAGTTGGAATCCCCCAGAAGACGGCTTTCCGATCTCCGTCAAACTTTGTCGACCCAGACACATACATACCAGAGCGTTGGCTCGAAGGTGCGGACCCTCGATTCGCCCAAGACGATAAAGCTGTGTTTGAGCCTTTCATGGTTGGGCCTCGAAATTGTATTGGGAAGACGTAGGTTGCCCTGCACTCTATGTTGTCTCAAACGCTGACTGCTTGAGTTATAGGTTAGCCTGGGTGGAAATGAAGATGGTACTCGCCAAAGTCCTATGGAACTTCGATCTGGAGTTATCTGAGAAGATGATGGGAAGAGATTGGTCTGATCAAAAGGTGTACTTGCTGAACGAGAAGACACCGATGTATGTTAAGATGAGGCCCAGGCTGTAGGAGTGGTCCACAGATGGTATCATATATTGGGTCAAGCTTCAAGCTTACAAGCCTTCTCTCGCTTAATGTCACGAGTTGTTTATGGATAGTATAAGTTTTAGTCGGTCAGTGCACAGAACAAAAACGCCGCACCGAACTAAAAGTGAGATTTCTTTTCCAGGACAAAGACAGTTCCTGTGCTTGATTGCTTGGGTAAAACACTCTCTGTGTGGACTGTCTACTACAAAGTACAAATATCCCATAGTATGTCAAATTTACTTGGGGTTGTCCCCCTTCATTTCAACCATTCCCTGCTCAACCTACAACACGCCTTGACCAACATCTCTTCAATGCCACCCGTCAAAGCTACACTTTGTACGGATTTTATCCCGCCCAAATTCATCTGTCAGCGCTGCCGGACCACGTTTTCCACGCACAGTTTGCAGTCATGCATCTGTGTTTGGAACAGTCTCCCCCAGCGATGTTCAAGCCACTTCCCTGAATATGTTCCTCCACACTCGTTTCATTTCATTGTTCAATGATTGTAACAGCCTTTGAAATTGTAGCAATGATCCCAATCCAAGCCGCTCCGCACTTAACACCGAGAACCTATTAAGTCCGAATGCTTGGCATTGATTTGCGCACTGCTGTATGCAAAAACTTCCCGTAAACCACGTCTGTGTCGTCGAGGCTCCTTTCCAACGAAAATGGAGTCAGGAGTCGAGATCGTGACCAGGAAACCTTCAATACCTAGTGGGAAATCTTTCGAAGCCCGACAAAAGCCTCTCGACCCCGAAGCCGCAGCCCTCAAGAAACGAGAAACTTCTGCCCATCAGACCTACGGCCGTGGCCGAAAAATCGCCCCCAAATCCATCAAAGACAAAAAGCTCCGCTCCAATCTTAAATTGCTGGAATCAAAGTATAAAGATGCGGTTCTTAAAGCGCACGATGCAGAAATTCTGCTCGAGCATGAGTCCGGGTTTCTTGAACCCGAGAATGAAGTTGAGAGGACTTATAAGGTCAGACAGGATGAGGTGAAGGAGAGTGTGGCGGTGGAGACGGCGAAGAAGGGTTTCGAGCTTAAGTTGGAGGGTTTGGGGCCGTATGTGTGTGATTATACGCGGAATGGGAAGGGGTTGTTGTTGGCGGGGAGGAAGGGGCATGTGGCGACGATGGATTGGAGGGATGGGAGGCTGGGATGTGAGCTGCAACTGGCGGAGACGGTGAGGTGTGCGAAGTGGCTTCATAGTGAGCAATTGTGGGTGGTCCTCTGCTCATACAAGGTATAATGCTGACGTCTTCAGTTTCGCGGTTGCCCAGAAGAAATACACCTATATTTACGATCATGCTGGAGTAGAAATCCACTGTCTGAGAAAGCACATTGAGGTCACGCACATGGAGTTCCTTCCTCATCATTTCTTGCTGGCCACGGTGGGAAATGCAGGGTATCTCAAGTACACGGACACTTCCACTGGAGCAATGGTGATAGAGATGCCTACTAAAATAGGCTCACCCACTGCTCTAGCTCAATCACCGTACAATGCTATCCTCCACCTCGGAAATCAGCAAGGTACTGTGGGTCTATGGAGTCCAAATTCAACCGAGCCTCTAGTGAAGCTTCAGGCACATCGTGGGCCTGTCAGAGCAATTTCGATTGATCGAGAGGGAAGATACATGTGCACGGCTGGACAGGATCTCAAGATGGGTGTCTGGGACATCCGGATGTATCGTGAGGTCAACAACTATTTCCTACGGCAGCCTGGATCCTCCGTTGCTATCAGTGACAGGAACCTTGTTGGGGTAGGATGGGGAACACAGGCTTCAGTATGGAAAGGACTTTTTGATAAGCACCGAGACGACCAGGAAAAGGTGCAATCTCCATACATGGGATATGGCGGTGAAGGGAGAAGAATCGAATCGCTAAGATGGTGCCCCTTTGAGGATTTGCTTGGAGTCTCCCACGACCAAGGCTTCTCCAGCATCATTGTGCCTGGCGCTGGCGAACCCAACTTTGATGCTCTCGAAATCAATCCTTACGAGAATACCAAGCAGCGGCAAGAAGCGGAGGTTAGAGCTCTACTAAATAAGTTGCAGCCAGAGATGATCTCTCTTAACCCGGACTACGTCGGTAATCTTGACCTGGCTTCCGCAGCTGAGCGAAAAAAGGAGGCAGATTTGGACAGGAAGCCCGAGGATCCGCTTTTGATGGCGAAAGAAAAGAATAGGGGACGAGGGAAGAATAGCAGCCTACGGAAGTTCATGAGGAAGAAGGGGAAAAGAAATATTATCGACGAGCAAAAGGTTAGAGTCGAGGAGCTGAAGACTGAAAGGCAGAAGAGGGCCAAGACAAAGTCGAAGAAGCAGGAGCAGGAGCTGGGGCCTGCGCTGTCGAGGTTTGCTAAGAAAGGACCTTGAGGTCACTTCGGCACAGGACAGAAACATTTATCGAACAAAGATCGTTCGAAGCTGGGATCTATTCGGTTGTCGCCACGGCTACTGACTGAAGCTCAGGGTCAAAAGGCCGACTCGTCCTGCCAGCTGGAAGAGCACTGGGTCCGGAGTTGCAACGCCGAGAGGCGGCGCTGCGGCTATGTGGACATGAACAAAGAGGATTCTGAAATTGATGAAGAGTCGCTGTCGAAGGGAATGCCAAAAAGAAACGATGACTAGGCTGAATAATTGCAAGTCTATGCTATGAAAGAGATCATTTTCGCAAGTTTTCGTAGTAGACTAAGTATTTATTAGAATACATAAATCTGACGAAGACGTCAAGCATCATCAGAGAAGAGAGCCACTTGTAGTCCTCGCTTACGGACTGTAAGCTTCTTCTCTGCAATTGCACCCCAGCATAGATATCGCAGTGCAGTGAGAAAGCTTCACTACTAATGCCACAGTATAAAAGACCACACAGTGACATTGAGACCTTCGAGAACGGCTGAGAGCAGGGCCATCGACATCATGATAAACGCTGTCTTAGTCTTCAACAACTCAGGCCAACCACGCCTTACGAAGTTCTATACACAGCTGGTACGCTCTACGTTGCACTAGTCATAGCTCGTATGCATAAACCTCTTGAACCTAGTGCTGATTCAACGCTCAGGATACCAGCGTGCAGCAGCGTCTCATCTCCGAGATCTTCACCCTTGTTGCCAATCGCTCGTCCTCAGCTTGCAACTTCCTACCGTGTGTCTCTACCCCGAGTCCTACATTCCCCAAGACTTCCTGGCAAGTGGTTGAATCTTTACTGAACTCGACGCCTTCTAGACTTCCCCCATTATTAGCTACAACCCCATCGGCCGCCGCAACCCCAACCCAACCCCACAATGACACCCCCTCCCTCATAACGTACCGCCACTACGCAACCCTCTACTTCATCCTGATCTCCACGTCTACGGAATCTCCCCTCGCCCTCCTCGACCTCATCCAAGTCTTTGTCGAAGCCCTCGACCGCCTTTTCGAAAATGTATGTGAACTGGATCTGATCTTCAACTTTGAGGCGTTGCATGCTACGCTCGGGGAGATGATCGTCGGGGGAGTCGTTGTGGAGACGGGGTTGGATAAGGTTGTGAGGGGCGTTAGGGAGCAGGGGAAGGTGAAGAAGAGGAGGGAGGTTGGGTTGGGAGGAGGGGATGGGTTGGGGGTTGTTGGAGGTCTGGGGATGGGGAGGGGATGGCGGTGAGTGAGGCACCTGGGATGGAGTTGAGCTGGCTCTTTACACAGGGCATAGAGTGGGGCGTAGAATGGCGTCAGACGTGGGACTATATAGGGCGAATTGGCATGCATTGTCAATAGAGCGTTCCTGTTGCAAGAACCAGACGGCTCGAATACCTTTCGCCATGGAAATGTTCCAAATGGCAGAGTATGGGAGTGGCAAACGGAAGCCAGAGATGGAGGAGCAGCAAGAAAGGAGACAACATGGGACCCATACTTAGAAGATGTCCATTGACCTAAACTTCTCATTCGATAGCAGTCCTACAGTAGTATGCTACTGAGCCTCTCTGACATGCCTTGCGCTCGGCTAATTCCTCCTCTAAGCCCTGGAATCCATCAATCTCTCCATCTCTGCACCACGGCAGTCCCTTCTCTCCATCTCATGCATACAGCGTCTTGTACAAGAGCTCCTCTTCTTGAGGAGAATACTGCTGTAGCGGCGAGAAGACAGTCTTCCAAGGCTTGGCGAATGTACCCCAAGCCTTCATCTATGTATCAGATACATTTTAGCTATTTAGCCTCCCTCCTTGGTTCTCTTTCTCAAGCTACAACTTCCACTGGCGCTGCCGTCGTTGCACCGTCGCCATCTCCCTTAGGCAGGTTGTCCTAACGCACATTTCAGCCTCATGAGAGCTTCTGCAACGCAAGATTGGATGGTCCGGTTGCTCCTTACTGCTTCGAATATAACCTTGATCATCAGACTGCAGCTGGGGCAGACTGCGACTTCCTCGCCGTCGCGGAGATCGGAGAGCGAGATCTCGAACTGGTCGCCACATGGGCATGGGTAGGTGTAGAGTGTTGTGGACTCGTGATAGGTCATGTCTTCGATCTCTATCTCATCGTAGAAAGACATGGCACCAAAAATCCAAAAAAATCCAAAAAGAAATCATGTTTTTCTTATCTAAAATTATAAATATTAATTTTTAAGAATTTTTTTTTTAAAAAAAATTTTTTTTTTTAAAAAATTTTATTTTTTTTTTTTTATTTTTTTTTATTTAATTTTTTTTTTTTTTTTAAAAAAAAAAAATTATTTTTTTTTTTTTTTTTTGTTCCGGGTAGACTACGCTAGTAGAGAAGGTATTAAAGAAATTCCGACCCTCTTAGTATTATTTTTCCCCACCTTACCCGGAGGAAAAAAAAAACTTTAAAAAAAAAAAAAAAAAAAAAAAAAAAAAATAACACCTAAAAAAAAAAAAAAAAAAAAAAAAAAAAAAAAAAAAAAAAAAAAAAAAAAAAAAAAAAAAAAAAAAAAAAAAAAATAAAAAAAAAAAAAAAAAAAAAAAAAAAAAAAAAAAAAACAAAAAAAAAAAAAAAAAAAAAAAAAAAAAAAAAAAAAAAAAAAAAAAAAAAATTAAAAAAAAAAATATTATTAATAGTATATAAGAAGTATAATAATAATATTATATATACTTTCTCGAAGCGAGTAGAATTAGATAATATTATATATAAAGAAATTTAGATCTCTAGAGTATTAGTTAATTATAAATCTTTAAGAGATAAATTTACTTATATTATCAAACGAGGGCTTAAAAGAGAAATTATTATATTATTAAATACGTTTAAAATTAATAATAAAATATTAAGACTTACGCGATAATCTTCTAGAAGAGTTAAAAGACTAATTACTTAGAAATATAAGAAAGGACTTACTAGAGATAAGCTATAGAAGTATATTCTCTTATCTATTAATATCGTCGCTATTAAGAAGTCTAATACTTTTTATAATAGCTTAAAATATATAATTAATATCGTCTATAAGAAAGTTGATATTAAGTTTTAGAAGCTTTAGTCTAATCTTTATAGTATTAATAAAGAAGAGAAAAGAGATAAAGAATACTTAGATATATTAAAGAAGAAGCTTATTATAAGAAAATCTTATAAAAAAGTCTTAAGTAAAGTAAATAAGACGGCTATAAAGAAGTAAGAGATTAATATAATAATTATTATTTCTACTAATTAAGCTATTAGAGTAATTTCTAGTAATATTATAAAGAAGACTTTAAATACTATTATAAATACTATTATTTTTATATAAATAATTAATTATAATAATAAGAATGATAATAATTATAAGATTATTAAGATTAAGAGAAAAGCGATTTTAATAGAAGAATAAAAGCTTAAAAAAGAATAAGTAAAGATCGAGAAATTGTAACTTAATACTATTAAAGAAAATAACACTATTACTATTATTATAACTGAATTTTCTATAATTATATTTAATACTTTTTAAGAAAGATTAAAGTATACTTTAAAGTTTTAAATCTTAATAAATCTTAATTAAGATAATTTACTCGCCTTATTCTCGCTATTCTTTATTAAAGAGATATTTAAAACTATTACGCGAAATATTAATATATACGCTATATAATAGCTTATTATATTATAAAAATAAGACTCTATTAAATTAAAGCTTTTAGAAAATAATATAAATTAGCGAGCTTAATAGGCTATTAATATAGTCGAAATTAAGATATTTATAAAATATCTTATTTATATAAATATTTATTAGAAAGACGAGATCGTAGACTATTAAAATAAGAATATATTTTATAATATATATTCTCTTATTATAGTAAGATAGTTAATTATATTAATCTATCTCCTAGATTTTATATATATTCTATAATTATTTATAGTTTAAAATAGATTTACTTAATTATAGCGATTTTTTTATATTAGTTCTTTAAGCGATAATATATCTATAAAGTTTATAGAAAAAGAGGTTAAAGTAATAATTAAGTAAGAATTAAAGTTTTAAAAGCTTTAGTAATAATATAAAATAAAGTCTTTTTTAACTTCTTTTAAAATTATTATTAAAAGTATTAGAGGCTTAATAGTAATATCGCTATTGATAAAATAATAATATAATTTTTTAAATAATTAAAGTATATTATTAATATAAGAAATAAGTCTATTAAATAAAGATATAAATTCTAGATTTTCTATAAGACTAAGTATTTATATAACTTTATATACTATTTATATATTTTAAAGATTAATAAATTAAAATTATATAAAATGCTAATAACTATCAAATTAATAGTATATTAATTTACGCTTATACTATCTTCTCTATTCTTTAATAAAATATATACTCTTTATCTTAATAATCTCTTTATATTAATTCTATTATTTTATAAGCTATATATTATAGATATTAAAGTATATAAAATAATTTATATAAATAATAGCGTTGATTTTTTAGCTATTCTATAAATTATAAGAGAAAAATAGAATTATAAGTTACTTTAAAGAACGCTTATAGCTATATTAATAGACGATATATTATATCTAGACTAGATTAATAATAATATAATACTCTTATTATCTATAATATATATAATAGATAAAGCGAGTAATATTATTAAGAAATAGTGAAAAAGATTAAGTCTTATCTCTATTAATATAAAGATTATAAGAGAGCTATTTAATAAATAGCCTCGAACGATATTTAAGATTTTATATTATATTAATAATTATAATTATAATATAAACTTTATAGATATTATTAATTAATATCGCTAGATATATAAGACTTAGAGAAAGACTATAAGAAACTAGTAGTTAATCTTCTATTAGATATTAGATTATAGCATTATTAATAACTTTAAGATTAAGAGTTATATAGATTTTTATTAAAAGAAGAGATAGTATAGAGACTTTAAGATTCGACTATATAAAGAGTTATTTATCTTTAAAAAGAATATAGAGATTAATAAGTATACTAATTATCTAGATATTAATCGATTTAATAAAATTATTAAATATATACTTATCGAGTTATAGTAAGATCTTATTATTAAAATAAAGTAGTAAAAGAATTATATTTAGTATAAGTATAAAAGTAATATAGCTATCGCTTAATCGCGTATATTAAATTTAAAGAAGTATATCTTTAATAATTCTTTAAGTTATAATATGAGATTTATTAATAGAAAGTATATATATCGTATCTTATATAGCTATATAGATTATTAAGTCGCTCTATATATAGCGAAAGATAAGAATTATTAAAAGTAGTAATATAAGTAAATATAGTTATAAAGTAAGCTTATAGCTATAGTAAGTATATATAATTATATAGAATCACTTATAAAATTAATATACGATTTGATTATTCTTCGAATATAGCTATTTTTAAGCTTATTTAATAGCTATATAATCGTATTTTTTTTATTATTCTTCTTTTATATTTTAATTATCTATCGTCTATTAAGCTATCTTTTTATCTTTATCTTCTTTCTATTAATTATTAACTATCTCTATCTACTTTTTTTTTTAAAGTATTATTTAGAGTTATTATAGATAGTATAAATTAATAAGAAATAATTCTAGAGTTATATAAACCTTCGCTTTATTATATTCTATTATCTTACTATACTTTACTAAATTAATTTTATATATTAAGATTTATCGATAAATTATATAATAAAATATTTCTAATATAATTTAGTCTTTTATATATATAATATATAGTGAATATAATTATAAAGTGTTATTTATTTTATCTTCGTTCTTTATATCTATTACGAGTATACTCTACTTAGCCCTTAACCCTATAACTAGCGAGCCTTAACGAAGATATCCTCTATTATATTATATCTTCTTTTCATATATATAGTTTAATAGTCTTATTATTCTATTCTATCTCACCTATATTAATATTATATCTATACTAGTCTTAATATTATAATAAGACTCCTTTATACCCCCCGACGAAGAAAATTAACGAGTTTTTTACTTTCTACTCGAAGTAAGCGACCGAGTCTAATAAAGAAAACGCTGGGTATTTCTATTATATAGAAACTCTACTATATATTCAAATTATAAGATATCTATATTATTCGAAAAAATCTATATTAGATAATCTATATTATTAATAATAGCTTAATTTATTAAAAAATCGAGTCCTCTATATCGTATATAAGAAATTCTTCTCCGCTCCGTTCCTCGCAAAAAATTTATAATTAAATAATAAACTATCGACGAATTTTCTATTATTCGAAAGGATACTATTTAGAGTACTTATAGTCTTTATAACGACTTAATCGATTAGAAAACGAGTATTATAAACGTTATAGTTAAATTTCAACTCTTAATATAGAGATCTATTAGATTTCTCGACTCGTAAACGCCTTTATAGTATTAGAATTTCAGAGACCTCTTCGCTTAATTCTATCTATATTCGTAATATTATAAATTCTTACTTAAATTAATCTATATTAATATTAAGATATCTTTCTTTATATCGTCATTTATCTATATATTATAATTAGCCTTATCTTATATACGATAATCTATATAGAAGATATTCGCCTTTAAATTCGCTACGACTTTATATACTACGTATATAGCGTTTTCTATTTACTAAGAATCTTTATTAACGATATCGCGAGATATTAACTTAATAAGAGAAGATATAAATCTAAAACTCGGCTATTAATCGAAAAGATATAATATAATATAAGATATTAATCTATTATATTATACTCTAAGATAATATAGATTATTAAGATTTATAGAATTTTATATCTAGTATAATATAAAATCTTAGCGATATATATTATAATATAATATATTTATAGTATTATACTATAAAATAATATATATATAGAATATTCTAATTAAAATTTTTATATTTAGAAGTAGCTATTTTAATTATTATTCTAATTAATAATTACGCTAAATTAATAAGATATAGAATTAAATATAATTATATTTTATTACTTTATATATATAAAAGAAAGCGAGCTATATTTACTAATAATAAGAAAAGCTTATCTTTCTCTAATATTAGTCGCGCGAAATCCGCTAATACTTTATAATTAAAGTTATTAATAATAATTTTAT